ACTTTCCCGGGAAACAATCAAACAAGAAAATCGGAGAAACCCAATTTGGAATCAATTGCTGTTATACCTCTGAGGTACTCAAGGAGGGTTAAATGAGCCAAGCCATCAGGCAACACTCTACGAACTCCATTGACATACAGAATCGCTTCCTTGGAACCCTCTCCAATCTGGTCCACTTCCTCATCCGTCTTCAACGACCCCATATCTGATTATTCAGAATCTCAAAGTTTTCTTATTGATTTTTTTTTTTTTTTTTTGCTTTGCAATATATTTTCTACAATACGATCAAACAGTTCTGTTCTGTATAAGAATTGTGGAAAATAAAACAAGCAGTTGGATGATTTGAAAGGAAACTAATTTGCGGGTCAGAACTGAAGGGACAAGTCAAAAAGTTCGATAGAGGGAAGACAAGCGTGATTCGTGAAGATTGAGGAGAACGATCCGTACCGTATGATCGTACCAGAAAGATAAAAAGAGATTAGAGATGGAGATAGAGACAGTGTTCTGAGTTTCGTGTCCGACATGTGAATCAAGTATAGAGTATTTTGTAAACAAAGAACATCCTTGTTACTTGTATGAAAAAAAAATAATAATAATAAATAACAAATAACGCTTTTTTTAAGTATATCCCAAAATTGGCTGACGTGGTCATTTTCGTTATTTAGCGGTGCTAAAAAGAGGGAATCTGGGCTCCAAAATGGATTAACATCATAAGCTGAACTTTGACAGATCGGTCTGAAATAAAAAAAAAAAATGAAAATTCTACAGTTTATTTTTAGGAAAAAAAAAATTCTACAATAGGTAGGAAAAAAAATCTCTATTCTATTAATAATTACATACTTTAAAACGATAAATTTGTAATTTTAATTTATTGTTTTGTTTTGATATAACTTGATTAGATATATTATCTAAATACATTTACTATCATTAAATGCCGGTTTAGTTTATAGATTCGAGTTTTTAATTCGAGTTTATATGTGATTTTATGTGAGAATTTTTTACTGTAGTAAAAAAAATAAATATGACTGTTTCTTAAAGTTTTTTACTGTAGTAAAACTCAAATTCGAAGCTCGAATCGGTTAAATAAACGGAGCCTAAAATACCATACTGACATAATATGTTGTTAGGAAATAATGTCTTCTCCTTGTTCTTTTCGTCCGGGAGTGGGAAATAATTTTTCTAAATTTACTTAATTTACCGCCTTGGATTTGTATCTTTTTGTTGTTGTTGTTGTTACCACATCAACATCTAATATTGAAGTCTCAAAATTTGATAATGCACTCTCAAATTAGAATTCCCCGCTTGCTATAAATAACAAGAAATCTATAAATTATAAGAGGATCTACTAAAGTAAATGATAAAATACAAAAGAAAAGATCACTCTTTTTGTTCTACAAATCAATAAATGTACACTCGGACTATATATGGCATATAGTAACTACTTGTGTTTCCTAACCATAAAAACAAAAGGTAAAGCATATCTTCAAAATCAATATATATATATATATATATATCTCTGCATATGTCTGAATAAGTGCTTGCTTCATAGGATCTTGTGATGGTAACCCAACTGGTGTGGATCGCTCTGACTCAGACGAATGAACAAGAATTTGCATAACGGCAGTGACAAGAAGCAGGAGAGCCCCAGAAATTGCAATGCCTTGCCATGATGAAAGCAACGAAGACCATTGGAAGAGCTTCACAATGCCATACACAATCAGACATAACCAGCAAACGACAACAATTAGAGACTTTTTGGGTCGCCCAATCTCTTCAAGTTCTAGATCACTGAATGTGCCTTTACTCAAGTACTTCTCTAGCAAAGCATCCTGAAAAAAAAAAAAAAAAAAAAAAAAAAAAAAAATTAAAAAAAAATTAAAAAATTACAAGGAAATTCAACACAATGTGACCTTTCTTTTTTTTTTTCATATCTTTATATAGTTATATTATACCTTGATAACAAATAAATCTCTACACCATTGTGCCGTACCATCATCTGTTTCTGGCAGTTCATGCATTAAATATCTCTTGATTTGTACTTTTACCTGTAAGATTATGGGAGGAATTATTATTACCACATATTTTTATATGACTATGATTCAAACAAATGTTTATTGATGCAATTGTATTTTTTTTTTTTTTTTTTTTTTTTTTTTGCTTACCACTGAAGTTTGACCTCTAAATATTCTCAACATTGTTGGTGGAGGGTGATTGTTGGAAATAGCCACTGTGCAGTCATAAATTGCAGGAACAAATGAGCGCATATGACTTACTGCTGAAACAAAACCCTGCAAGGATATATGCAAACTATTATTAAGAACCAAAAAGATCTCAGGACAAACCAAAAGTTTATGTTGATATATACTTCACGTGAAGAGGAAGATGTAGTATATGTATATATGTGTAAACATATAATGCTTGTAATGTGTATGATTGTATCAACAATTTGTGGAGAAGGACAGGCTAATATATGCAACAAAAACCAATTTGATATCAAACACTATGTGGAAGAAGAAAAAGTTACAAGTTTGCTATAAGATTAGATAGTACATTATAACAAACCTTTGTACGTGGAATCAAGACATTCCTAGGAACAGGCAAGCCTCTTGAAGCTGCATAATGTTGAGCTGCAGCCAACTTCGCTTGCGTAAAGCGAGTTCCTTCGACGAAGAGAGCCAACCAAAAAGGCATGGGAAAATCCTCCAGCCGCCGAAAACCCGACTGAAAATAGCTTCAAAACACATGATGGGACAGAAGAACAAGAACAAGAAAAAGTATGCAAATGAATTGATCAAAGACACATACTTTCAACGTGCTTTCATCTATAGCCCATTTCCTCTCCAAGAAGACATAATCAGAAAACCACATTGACCAACCTATGATCTGCATAATTAATTTACTGCCTTCTGTTAATCACTCACTAATAGAAATCAAATTAAGAAAATTAGATAGAATAGTGTTAATTGATTAAAGAGAATTTACAGGGAGGAACTTGGCTTCCTTCTTCATTATGGCTAATGCGCTACCAAGGCAACCTGCACGCTGTAATATTTCATAAGCTCAATATTAAATCAAGAAATACAAAGTTACCAAAAGAATAATAATAATAATAATAATAATAAAGCACTAATTAAAATAGATGCCCAAATTTATAGTATACCTGAGCTAAGACCCAACCAACAAGCCAATCAATATCACTCCTGTGGTTGCTTATAACAAGTGCATGTTCTTTACCTGTTAATGCAAATGTCTCAAATTAGGTAATTAACAAGGTTTTATGTGAGAGAAATGTATAGTAATATTTTTTTGTTTTTTTTGTTTTTTCCCCCAAATATCTAATAGAATCTCACCCATCAAACTAAACGTTTCTGAATCTGTATGCACCTCAATCTGAAAAGTGGACAAAAAAGTTCTAATTAGTTTTATAAGTCACATGTTTTCTTTTTAACAATCAATGAACTCATATATTCACATCATATTTAAATTAAAAAAAAAAAACGCTATAAGAAAGGACCAGGAGGATACATACATACATACATACATACATATATACATACATACATACATACATACATAAATATATATATATATATATATTAGAAAGATTAAAGATATATTTGCACACACATAAAAACATCTTGAGGTATATCACTATATACCTTAATACCAGCCCACCAATCAATGAGCCAAATGAGTTCCAACCACAACAATTCTGCAATTACTTTGTTAATCCTTCTGTACGTGCGCTTTGAGATTGGACGAACAAGGATGAATAACATAGCCTGGAAATATATATACACACATATAGATATATAAGAAAATTAAAAATAAAAATAAAAATCATTGACGTGCTCTTAGAAAACATCATAAGGAAAAAAAAAAAAAAAAAAAAAAAAAAAAAAAAAAAAAAAAAAATAAGCGGGCTTTAAAAAAAAAAAAAAAAAAAAAAAAAAAAAAAAAAAAAAAAAAAAAAAAAAAAAGAAGGATAATCTTATGAAAGAAGTATACGTACGTACCTGCAGAAAATTAACAAGAAAGCCTGAGAAAATAAAAAGGATGCCGATGGGAAGGATAATCAGAGAAGCTGGGACCGCCATGGCTTTTGATCAGAGACAAAGAAGGGGGGGGAAAAAAAAAAGAAGAAGAAGAAGATGTGAAATTGGAATGACGAGTTATGGAAGGAGGTAAGAGTGGATAAGGAAGAGTTTTGCAAATTCTTGCGAATGTGTTGGGAAATCGCAGACTCTGAAGCCGCTTTAAACGGCGCTCGTAGCCGTTCCTTTGCATGAAAATAACACACCTGTTTAATGCTTATCTCAACATTACACTAATTTTCCAAATTAATAACGTGAGACAGTACTTAATTATACAATATATCCCCTCAAAAAAAAATTAAAAAAGAGATAGTATACATACACACACACATGACGTGTATAATATAATAAGATTACCAGGATAAATATACATCAATTAAATTACGCAATTTTCTAAAAGAAAAGTTGCCTATTGTTAGTATTATTATTTTTACTTGATTAATGATCATTGTAGACTGACTAAAGATCAAGATCTATGGACAATAAATATAAGGGAAACAAAAGTAGCGGAAAAAAAACAACCCTAAAAGAGATTTTCTAAGGGGAATAGTTGTAAATTGTAGATTTTTAAAACTAAATTAGGTAAATAGTAGATTTTAAAATTATTTGAAGTAGTAGTTTATATGATAAATGAATCATTTACGATTGGTGAAAAATAACTTGTGGTAAAAAATCTTTAAAAAAATATTTATTTACGAAAAAATCTTAAAAAAAATATTTATTTACAAAAAAAATCTTTTTTGCAGTCGAAAAAAGAAAATTTACATGAAAAAATTGTTTTTACTAACCGTAATGAACCATTTACGCGATAAATAATTCATTTACTCATAAACTGCTATTTATTTTAAATGGTTTTAAATCTAATATTTAGTTAATTTAATTTTATAAGTCTACTATTTTCTATATTTTTTGACGTTCTGATAGCCCAAAAGTCTTTTTTTAAGGATAAAATGATTACTTGGGTAATAAATTTGAATTTGAAATAAGCAAAAACTTGTTACTATGGATAATGGAATTAAATAGAAAGTATGTTCTAATATATAATATTTATTTATGTGTATAATGTGAGTATTTCTCTTTCAAGTACTGTACTGTCATGTTAAAAAGGCATTTGGCTGTGGAATATATGCTTATCCGACTGACCTTGTTATTTAATTTTAAATGTTTCTCTTAATTTCAAGCAAACAGGTGCCCTTTTCTTTGCCATATGGAATAAGTTCCATCGTATACTTTGTTGCCATGTCTTAATTCTTTATACTATAGGAAATATCTACATAATCTTGAGCTTAAAGCCTAACCAAAATCACTGTGACCTTCAATCAATAAAAATACACACTCATAACAAGTCTGACAAGCTAAGATTGCAAAAATTTTCCCGAGCTCTATTCATGTATTTATATTAATTAATTAATGCAACTTGTTAACATTAAATGATGTGTCACTCTTTTAAATACTTATTACTAAAAAATATAATCGATTAGGATTAAAAAGTTGAGCTAAAATTCGGGACCCTTATCATAATTATTATTCTGTGAAAGTAAGAATGCTCTGCGAGTTCTCTCTAATTGCATCTCCAAATCAAAATTCAAGGGAAACAATATGAATCCTCTGTCCAAGTATGGTAAATACCTCAGTTTACAACAAGAATATATAATTAAAAAGTAAAAACCACGATGGAAGGTCAAAATTGCTGCTCTTTATGAATAAATATATTTTTAATTTTCGATAATGTTCTTTGTGTTTTTTGCTTGGACTTAAATCAAAGATACTTGGTCAACCAAGGTAGCTCCTTGCTGTCCTTCAGTGCAAATGCTACATCGTCACTGCAAAAGAAAAGAAAAGGATTTTGATCAGCCGATGAGGCTGCAAAAGTTTTTTTGATGTTTAACCTGGAAAGATCAGTAACGAACGCTCAAATAGTCTTCTTTTTTTTATATTTATATATACAAGACAGAGTTTGAACCCGCAACCTCCTCTCAAATCCTCCTCACCCAAACCCCCCTAGTGCCACTAGAGGTCTTAAGCCTCAAACAGTCTTCTGTTGTTACGTAATTCAGTGAGGTTAAGGCACTCAAACACCAGCCCTTAAATAGTGCAAATTGATTGAATCCTGTAGTGTTGTAGGAAGTAGGAACAAACCTTGGAAAGTTGAGCTGTAACTTTTGCAACCTGTGTTTAGCCCCCGATTCGCATAGGATAATCCTGCATTCACCAAGCTTACACCTGCCACAAATGTAATTGGGGGTGTTCAAATATATGCAAATACCCATTTAAACCGAGCAATTATGTGTTGGATTTATGTTGGTTTTTGAACTAGTATGAGTTTTGGCGTTTTAGATTACATGAAATAATTGGGGGTGATTATGAAACTGGTTATGCCTTGTGATTTTATGAGTTTTTTAACTTATTGTCTAACTTTAGATGTCTTTTCACACACAAAAAAATGATTAGAAAAAAAAAACGCATAAATATAACTCTATAAGCCTAATTAACCGATCAAAGTAACCAATCCAATCTGCATATGTGGATTGGATTGATTTGTTGGTTAATGTGTTAAGTGTGGACTGGATTCGATTGGATGCAAATTTTTCAAATCTGCACATGTATGGATTGGATTAGGTTAAACTAAAAACTACGGATTGGATTGAATGAACACCCCTAAACGTAATGGAGATTCATATTTCACAACGAATAATATTCATTAAATATCATCTTTAATCAAACAAGCTTATAATCTCGGTCTCTCTCTATTTCATAGAAGGCATATTTTCATATGTCATGATGCACCATTGATCCTAATATAAACCACGGAAATTATGAAACCGGATCATCGAAACATTCACTCATACACTGATGAAGCAAATATACTAAACAAAAAAAGACCTTAAAATGTCTGAAGAAGAAAGTTGAATGGTTTTTCATCCTCATGTTCTTCAGAAATTATAATGTTTCTTCAAGTGTGTACATCAAATAAGTAACTACTTTATTCTCAAATAAGTAACTACTTGTCATGCTTACCCGACTCTCAAGAGTGTGTCATGTCCAGGAAATGCTTCTCCATTGCTTGTACAGAGACATGAAACGGTCATTGCCAACTGCAAATGTTTAGAAAGAACATCAATTGTTGACTTCGAAACTATAATTTTAGGAAAACTCTGCAAAAAGCAGAAGAGTTGAGAAGTCAAAGACGGGAGAAGCATTAGTTGTTTCGGTTTCAAAAGAACACTCATTGCATCTTTGTTTTCCAGCTACCCAATGAACTAACGCAGAAATAAAATAGAGAAAAATATTAATTGTATCAAGTAGAATGAACCTTTGGTAAAAGAAATTCCTGATGTTTGAATTAGAAACATAACCTAATACAGATCTATAGATTCAAAGAAGAAAAAATGTTACTAAAATAAGAAATCAGACTACGATGTTGAGGGGAAAGCTTGGGAAGTCGACCTTTTCAAAGGTGGTTTCACCCATTCCCATTTTATAGAGCTCATGCACCATGGAAGTCAAGAAAATTTTACTCAGTTTACAACTACTTCTCATCACCTGCAAAAAACAAATACGATCACGTTGATATGTTTATAAAGGTTTTTTTTTTGCCTAAAATAAAAATTTAACATCAGTGTAACAATCACAAATAAATTGCAATGCTCATGCAAGAACGTTCCCTCTTCCAAGATTTTATCTGTCTTTAGTAAAGTTGCAACAGAGCTAAACAGCGAGCATTATCCAGTTATGACTCACTTGAATATGAGGTGCCTGGAACATCTCTTGAATGGCTGCTTCAACATCTGCCATGCCGACAATAGCTTTTCCTGGAAATTGGATGCATAGGATCCTATAAGTCAGCAATTTTCAAGAGAGTGATGAATTTTGCGAACTCGATAATTCCAGCATGCAGAAAAATTGAACGTGGTGATTTTGAATATTGAAAACGTAAGCATAAGGAGCCCGAACAATGTTATGGAAATCCTGGCCCCAACATTTTTCTATTAATTTGTGAAGACAAATTAGGAAACAATAACTGCACACCTTCAGAAGCGTTAATTGGATTTGACCTCAGTTTTTTTACACGATAGTCAGTGATTTCTGCTGCACGCCTGCAAATCTCTAGAGCACGACGAGCATCTCCTGAAATAGCTGCTACCTGAATACATGCACAAATATGTTAAACAGTATTGTAAAACGAGCATTCAAAGCCTCAACCACTTCAGCAGATGCAAGGGACAGAATTGAACTTCATGATGAAAATAAGTGACATACAACTGACCTTTCTTGAAGCGAACTCTATAGCTTGTTTTTCAAATGCATCAATTCCTTTAAGGCGACTCAAAATGATTTCTTGAAGTTGTTGAAAGTTATAGGGTCCAAAGCAAAGCCTTTGGATTCCCATACGGCTTGAAATACGAGGAAGCAACTTCTCTGGAAGATCCATTGTATTTGCTATGCCTAAATTCATATTTGTCACAAGGAAAAAAAAAGATGGTAAATGATATAATCAAATTAGAGAAGCAGCAGCTACAAAGATAAATGTTTACCTATCACAATCAATTTGGAATGTGGTTTAGTAGGCCAATCAAGAATGTTGTAAAGAACCTATAAAAGGAAAAGGTTAGGTGATAAGCCTCCCCTACGATTCACTTATGTACGGAAAAGACTCCGTGAGAAGGATCATGCAGGGACAAGGAAAGAGATGGAAGCCACAGCGCATGGGAACACTTCTCGGGATGGATAGGAGGTGGGCTAAGTTGGCACGAGAGGATGAGCTGGGTTGGGAGTGGGAAAGGTCTATTAGTTAGTAAGCTGCATTGGAGTCTATAACTAAGAGAATGTGATTGAATAAATAGGGAAGGAGGACAAGTGAGAAAAGGCATCAAAAAAGAGTGAAGTTGAAGTTAGTGAGGGAGTGCACGGAGTCACTCGAAAACCCCCATATCCTGTAATTCTTTCCCTATTTTCTGCCAATTAATTATATTGATTCAGTGAACTTACTCATATTCATGTGTAGAAGTGCACTTACAATCTGTTATATTAGTCTGTGAGCTTATCATTTGGTATCAGAGCACCTTTTGGGAATGACAGAGAGGACTAATGACCGCAAGAAAGAGAGGGCGGAAGGAACGAAAGAGGATTCTCATAAGGAATTGGATATGGTAAGAGAAGATTTGAAGAAGATTCCCATGCTTAAGCAGGGTATGGCGCTGATGTTGGAAAAACTGAACTGACTGATGTGCCAGAGAGCTGAATCTGACTGGAAACCTACGCCGACAGAGAAGAGGACGACAGAGACGCAACCGGCGAGTAGAAATGCCCACTTTCGACGGAGAAAATCCCGATGGCTGGATTTTCCAAACTGAGAGGTATTTCGCCATGAACAAGATGACAGCGAGTGAGAAGTTAGATGTAGCAGTGGTAAGCTGGGATGGAGAAGCCTTGGCTTGGTTCTAGTGGGAGGATAGCCAGTGGGTGATACGGGACTGGACGGATCTGAAAGTGTTGGTGCTCGAGAGGTTTCGACCGACACAGGAAGGAAGTTTATGTGAGAAATTCTTATCTCTGCGCCAAGAAACGCCGGTCCGGGAGTATTTCAAGCTCTTCAAAACGTTGGCTGCACCATTAGGGGAGGTTTCTGAGCAGGTCCTAAAAAGTACATTTGTGAATGGATTAAAGCCCGAAATCAGGGCTGAAATTCGGATGCTGAAGCCCAAGGGATTGGGCCGAATTATGGAATTTGCCCAGCGGATGGAGGAGCGTAACCTACTAGTACGCGGCCCAAAGGCCCACAACTTACAACCCAGCCCAGGAAACAAAGTTCTGGAATCCCTGAATTTGGACTAAGAGGAGGTTCAGCTCAAGCCGGGTTAGGGCCGCGAGGGGGTATGGCACCATGGGGAAGGATGACCCACGCCACAGACAGACCATCGAGTAGCGGGACCGAAGCAGCGCCGTTCTGGCATTTGACCGACGCCGAACTTCAGGCGAAGAGGGCAAAAGGCCTTTGTTATCGCTATGATGGGAAGTATGTTTTCGGGCACCGTTGCCCTAACCGGGAGTTGCAGGTGCTCATCGTGCGAGATGAAGAAGATCAAGAGGAGTCACAGGAAGGAAAGGAGGAGGCACTCGAAGAAGGTGAAGTGATGGAGCTCTCCATCAATTCGGTGGTTGGACTCACAGCCCCGAAGATTATGAAGCTCAAAGGAGTGGTTCGTAGAAGCGAGGTAATAATTTTGATCGATAATGGGGCGACTCACAATTTTATTGTGTTTGACTTGGTGAGATGATTGGATTTACCTATAGATCAGACTGAAGGATATGGGGTGGTTATGGGAACGAGGTTATCAATTAAAGGGGAAGGAGTTTGCCGCGGGGTGGCGGTTTCGCTGCAAGAGGTAGAAATTGTGGAAGATTTTCTTCCCTTAGAGTTAGGTAGCGCAAATCTAATTTTAGGGGTCCAATGGTTAGAGACTTTAGGAATGATGACGGTGAATTGGAAGACCTTACTAATGAAATTCAATCTCAGGGATCGACAAGTGACATTGAAAAGGGATCCGGGGTTAAACAAATCCCCAGTCACCCTTAAGGCCTTAATGCGAGCTCTTAAGCAAGAGGGACAAGGTATGTGGGTGGAGTTGAATAACCTGAGGATAAGTCCAGGGAAAGAGGCTGTGGAGGCACCAGAGGAGCTGCGAGCCGTATTACAGGGCACTCAGCAGTGTTTGAATCTCCATCGGAATTGCCACCAGAAAGGGCAAAAGATCACTTGATAGTGTTGAAGACAGGGACTTCTCTGATTAACATCAGGCCATACCGCTATCCACAGATACAGAAAGACGAGATTGAACACTTAGTGGGGGAAATGCTGGCAGCAGGTATTATCCAACCCAGTATGAGCCCATATTCTAGTCCAGTCCTTTTGGTGAAGAAGAAAGATGGAAGTTGGAGGTTTTGTGTGGATTACCGCGCATTAAACAAGGAGACGATGCCGGATCGTTTTCCGATACCGGTAATAGATGAATTACTCGATGAACTCCATGGGGCTACCATCTTCTCTAAAATTAATCTCAAGTCGGGATACCATCAGATTCGTGTGCGGCTGGAAGATGTGCCCAGGACGGCTTTTCGCACACATGAGGGGCACTGAGTTCCTTGTCATGCCGTTTGGCCTCACGAATGCCCCGGCAACCTTTCAGTCACTCATGAATGAAGTGCTACGAGCTTTTCTCCGTAAGTTCGTCTTGGTATTTTTTGATGACATACTAATCTACAGCCAGACTATGGGGGAACATGAGCACCATTTGGATCGGGTATTGGTCGTTTTACATTAGCACCGTTTGTTCACCAACGGAAAAAAGTGTAGCTTCGGGCAGAACTCAATCGAGTACCTTAGGCATATTGTGTCTGGGGAAGGGGTGTCGGCAGACCCAGCCAAAGTGGAGGCTATGGTGCATTGGCCTCCCCCCACGAACTTGAAGGAGTTGCGTGGCTTCCTTGGGTTAACCGACTATTACAGGAAGTTTATGGCAGGTTACAGCCACATCGCGGGACCATTGACGAACTTACTACGGAAGGATAATTTTCACTGGGATGAGGAGGCAGGAAGCGCGTTTGCCGCACTGAAGCACGCCATGACAGTAGTACCCGTCCTAGCCTTGCCGGATTTCAACAAACCCTTCGTGTTGGATACAGATGCTTCTGGTCATAGGGTTGGGGCAGTGTTAATGCAAGAGCAACGGCCCATTGCATATTTTAGTCAGGCTCTTTCCACACAGCACGCGGCAAATCAATTTATGAGAGAGAATTGATGGCCATAGTCCTAGTCATTCAAAAATGGCGGCCATATCTCCTGGGACGTCATTTCGTGATCCGCACCGACCAGCGTAGCCTCAAGTACCTGTTGGAACAACGCCTAGTGTCTACAGAACACCATAAGTGGTTAACCAAGCTGATGGGTTACGACTTCAAAATCCAATTTAAACCGAGATTAGAAAATAAGGTTGCAGACGCTCTCTCCCGCCTCATTAGTACTCCGGACCTGAGTGCCTTATCGGTGGCCCTAATTTTCGACACCAGTGAACTACACCAGCATGTATTGCTCGATGAAAAATTAGCTAAGGTATGGTCTGACTTACAACAGGATGTGACAGCACATCCGGGTTTTTTCCATTGCACAAGGCAGGTTATTATACCAAGGCAGAATGGTGGTACCTCGGGAAGACACTCAGGCGTATTGAAGACATACCGGCGGATTGCAACGGAATGGTAAATCATATAATCAAATTAGAGAAGCAGCAGTAACAAAGATAAATGTTTACCTATCACAATCAATTTGGAATGTGGTTTAGTAGGCCAATCAAGAATGTTGTAAAGAACCTATAAAAGGAAAAGGTTAGGGCATTTAATTTTCACATTTTATGAAAACATAAGACAAATAATTGATTCAAAAGACTGGTAGATATTTGCGAGTTCCAGCTCAGCTTACCAAAAGAAAAGAAAAGGAGAAAATAATTACCGACTGATTTCTGGTAACAAGAAGATCAAGTTCGTCAATGAGAAGAATACAAGGTCGGTCATCCTCTTTGCCAAACTTTTTGCCTTCTGAAAATCGGTCATTCAACAATTGAAGAGCCTTTTTCCAACTAACTCTGTGCCCACTCAATGCTTCATATACAACCTGTTGGAACAGATTTTAGAGGGTGGGCAACGACAGTCTACAGCCTTAGAAACATATAAGTTATTATATCTCACCCTATATATATTTTCTGGTGATGCCAACTTTAGACCATTAATCTCCACAAAACAGTAAGGCCTTATGCTTCTTGCATCAACTTCAGACCTTAGATTCTTCATTACTGTCAGGACACTCATTGTCTGCAATTTCACACAGAAACAATCAAATAAATAAAATAACAACCTGAAGGGAACCTACAGCCTGTTCGAATTAACATGAGTATTTCACTAATTAAAAGCAAATAAATCCTACCTTCCCAGTTCCAGGAACACCATGGATGTACAGGCAACGACCAAGACACTGATCATCACATATAGCATCTTTGATAAAGGAAGTAATCTCCTCCATTTCCCTACATAAAGGATAATAAGTCTTTCAGAAACTCAATGCATATTAAAGAAAACCTAAATGCTCAACTTCAACATACTTATTCCTGCAAGGAAGACACTTTGGCATCGAGGCCAACACAAGTGCTGCTTTTGCTCTTTCAAGTTCAGTTCGCTTGTGGCATCTTACATGCTCTGGGATTTTCTTCATCCCTACCTTTTCAAGTCCAAAGAACCGTCCCTTTCTTGAGTTCTGTATAAAAAATAAAACCGGCATGGTTTAGTTTGCAAACCTGCAAGCTAAAGCCACAAATATGTGAACAAAAATAGCAGACATACAGCAGCTAACTTATGAGCTGAACATGATTTAGCTCGTATATTTCGAATGCTCTCCTCTTCATCATACAACACATCATCAGTGCCAGAGTCTACATCCTTGCCGACTTTCCAATGTTCATTACTGTCAGTTTCTTCAGCATTAGTGTCAGAGTCTACATCCTTGCTGACTTTCCAATCTTCATCACTGTCAGCATCCTAGTACATGAGGAAAAAAACATATATTAACTGACTGATAACGTTAACTCCACTTGATTTTGTATACCAACCCTGCTTCTAACTTCGGAAGTGCTTACCTCTTCATCATCATCAATCTCAGCAAGACATTTGAAACTGTGCCAATGAATGTCATATTCATATTCACATAAGAAAACATCATCCCCTTCGTCACTGGCTTTGGTATATTCTTTAGGGTTCTTGACAAAACAATGTCGCAAGACACATTCCATCTGTGGCATTGCATTAGCAGGTTATAAACTCAGGAAAGAAGTCCCGCCTCCCTTTTCAACAAAATACGTGATTTAACGACGGTATAACACAAGAAAACATTAGAACACAGAAGTTCATATGTAATAACAAAAAGCAGGCGAGTAAGGTTAGACCTATGTGGCAATATGCATAGTTTTGACTGCTGTGGAAGTCTCAAACCTCAACTAGATTTGAATGGCAGCTCAAAATCTGCTCCAAATAAAAAAGGGGCGCATGCAACATAGAGAAAAAAAAGGAAAAAGAAAAAGTAAATTGCAACATGTATTGTGTACTTACAAATGAAAATAAAAACAAATGAAATACGTATATTGTACCAGAAGATGAAATATGAAAACGTCCATATCATACCAATCATGAAAGAGCAGTCATTGTGATTAATTGGGCAGCTCACTTAACAAAACTAGAAGATTTAGAGTGTAACTTGAGTATAGTTTTTGAATTGAATTTGAGTTATAATTTGAGTTGAAGTTGTAACTTAAATAAAGTTGAATAAAATTGAATAAAGTTGAAACTTAAAAGAACATAAAGTTGAATAAAGTTGGAGCTTGAGTTGTCTTTTTTTGAGTTTTTTGAACAAAAGAACATGCCCATCTCCCTAAGACAAGGCACAATCTTAGGGTCCGTTCGGTTCGCTAATTCGAGTTTTTAATTCGAGTTGAGATGTGATGTTGTGTGAGAGCTTTTTACTGTAGCAAAAAAGTTAGATGTTATTATTTTTGAGAGTTTTTTACTGTAGCAAAACTTGAATTCTAAACTCGAATCAGCGAAAAGAACGGGGCCTTAATTCCTCAGGAACTTAATACCAACGAAAAAAAAATCAAGTCAAGATTTTATCTTTCACCTCAATGTCAGCAAAATCATTAGTGCGATAAAGCTCCCTCTTCAGATTATGTGGTTGTCTTCCGGAAGAAGTCTCTTCAGGGATAATATACCAACGTACACTACACCAGTAGCTACCATCCACTTCTTTCCATATCCTGCACGCATGAAAATTAAACACCCATAAACAAATTGCCAAAAAAAAAAAAAAAATTCCCAAAATTAAAAAAGACTGAATTTGAATAAAACTTAACATAATTCAATGGATTTGTATACCCTTTAAGAAAACGAGTAAAATAGTACCTTTCAATACGAGCAGCCCACAAATCACTGGAAAGAAGTTTCTCCCTCATTGTTCTTACCAGTTTCTTTCCTTTGGGCGGCACCGGAAGCTGAACCCTTTTGCCCATCTTGCGAGCCTCACAGAACCAACAAATCCAATCTCCTTCAGGAACCTCCTTCAATGGCGGTTTCAGACATTTCAAATGGAACCCACCTAGACAATCATCGCACTCAATCATCACTGCTTTTCCAGACTTGAAGCACACCCTGCACTCCTCCATTTCGGGGTCTTCATCGTCTGAGCTCGCGTACTCTCTCCTCCTCACATACACATCATCTCCGACCTCGAATTCTCCGCCATCGTGCACGACCTTCTTGTAATGCACTCGTTTCTTCGATACCGACCCACCTTTTGTCGGCACCGGAAGCTGAACCCTTTTTCCCATCTTGCCAGCCTCACAGAACCAACAAATCCAATCTCCTTCCGGAACCTCCTTCAATGGCGGTTTCAGACATTTCAAATGGAACCCACCTAGACAATCATCGCACTCAATCATCACTGCTTTTCCAGACTTGAAGCACACCCTGCACTCCTCCATTTCGGGGTCTTCATCGTCTGAGCTCGCGCCCTCTCTCCTCCTCACATACACATCATCTCCGACCTCGAATTCTCCGCCATCGTGCACGACCTTCTTCTTCTTTTCGGAGCTCTTACCTTTCGAAGCCATAGCTCGAGTAACCACCGTTCTCCCATTTTCCCGTTTTCTCTTCCTCGACTCCGGTTGCTCCGGCGATACTGGAGAGAGTGAAACTTTGTCATCTACCAGACCTTTCTCCCCTTTCCGATTAGGTTTTTTATCCTTTTTCGCAGAATCTAGGGTTTTCACATCGGGAGTTTTGGGAATTCCACTGGATTTTCTCCTCGGGGTCTTCGCATCTCTCGGAGTTTCCTTCACCGAATCCCCAATCGCCTTCTCAATGAGATCGATCTGTTTCCGCGGAGTCTCCGAGTCAAAACTCAGCGAGGTCCGGCGAGTTGATCGGCGAGGGGTCGAGGTTTGGGGGGTCGAAGGCGTGAGCGACGGCAGGGGTTTGGTGGCGGACGACGGCGGTTGCTTGGAGCTTCTCGTGGAATGCACGGCTCTCTTGGGAGTCTCCGCCATTTATGTTCGGACGGCGCAGGGGAGGTGCTCTTAGGGTTAGAGCGCAGACAGAGAGGAAGAAGGTAAAGCAGAAAGGCAAGCAAGTTTTCTGGAGAGAGAGTGGGGAAGAGAGAGAAAACTGGCGGGAAATTTCCCTCCCATTTTGATTCCCCCGCGAACGTGGTCTGTGCTGTCACTGTTTTATTTTTCTTTATATTATCTGTTATCTATTTCTTTTTCTCCGTTTTTCTTTGGGAAAAAAAACATTTTAAAAAAGAAGAAAAAAATGTATTTCTTTTCTTTTAATATGAAAAGTTTCACGCTAAGGTATGAAAAATACCACAACTTCATGGTTGATATAATTTTATTTTAATTACTTTGTTGTTATGTTTGAAGTTGAACCATCAAAAACTTCTCACTTTTATACACTTTCTCATTTTAATGCGATTTCTATCAAATATATCCTTCAAAATAATACCCCCATAGTGGGTAGGTACTCTGGCGTAAAAACATAAGAACACTGCATTTGTTTATTATTTATAAAATCTACTTTCCATAAGTTTTTCTGTAAATACATTTATTTGGTTAAAATCAGTTATTTTTAAAATTTCATATAGTTGAAAGTAAAGATGTCAAATGGGCGGGGCTGTCCATGGACGGCCCGGCCCGGCCCAACCCGTGATAGTGTCGGATTCGGCACGGCCCGTTTCGCTACTGTTACGGGCCGTGCCGGCCCGACATGTGTAATGGGCTAGGGTTGGGCCTCAGCTTCTCAGCCCGTAGCCCTAGCGATGGAGGCCCTCAGCACGGCCCTTGTTCGGCCCGGTACAAGCCCTGATTCGACCCTTGTTCGGCCCGGCCCAAGCCAGCAAAACGGCCCGTGAAACAGCCCATTATAAATCCTCTCGTGGGCCCTTCGCGGGCCCAACGGGCGGCATGTGACGGGCCTCCCGTTTGGCCCGTCATGGGCCTCCCATTTGGCACGTGACGAGCCTCCCGTTAGGCCCGTCACGGGCCGCCCGTTGGGCCCGCGAAAGGGCCCAAAGGCAATAATCCGAAAATCCACCCTAAAATTCTCTATAAATACCCCTTAATTCCACCATAAATCACACACAACAATTCACTATCAACTTCTCATCTCACTCTCATTCTATCTCTCAACTTGTCTCTTTGATTTTGATTCTAGGCTTTTTTCTCGTGTTCACTCATTTTCTTGCTCTTTCATTTACAAAGTTCAAGTTCAATTAATTTTCAGAAATGGCCACACCAAACTTCCATGATTTCACTGCTCTTCCTGAGCTTGGTGATGAGGCATTTTTTAAGGAATAAATGATGCCTCCCAACCCCACCTCCACTGAACTAGAAAATGCTCCGGTGGATAATGCTTCAGTGTACAATGAGGAAGTTGGAGAACGCAGCAGGGGAAAAAGACCGCGAACTTCTCCGACATGACAGCATTTTACAAAAGAGCCCCGACCAAATCCAAAAACAGGTGAAATGGAAATTCGTGCGGTATGTAAATATTGTAAAAAATACTTTTCTAATAAAAATGGTGGGGGTACTGGTCATCTGGATAAACATTGGAAAGTATGTCTATCGTTGCACCAAGGTGGGAGTGTGGACTCCCGCCAACAAACACTATCACTCACATCACAGGGGTTATAAAATTTTACATACGATGCACAACATGCTCGTGAGGCACTAGCTAAATTTTTAGCTAGTGCCGAATTGCCTATTTCTTTTGCAGATGATGCGTCGTTCGAAAAATTCATCTAGACAGCCTTTTGCCCACAATTTAAACGGGTAAGTAGAAACACAACTCGTTCTGATTGCATGAAAGTATTTTATGCAATGAGACAATCTCTTATTGATAATTTTAGGACTTTTAATGCTACCGTCTCTTGCACTTTTGATCTGTGGAAGGGGTGCAATAAAACTGGATCTTTATGTGTCACATCGTATTACGTTGATGACGATTGTGTTTTACAAAAAAGAATAATTGGTTTTCATTTTTGTCCATATCCTCATAACGCATCATCTATTTTTGGTACAATAATGGAAATTTTTGGGTTTTATGGGATAGAAAATAAAATTTTAACAATTACTTTTGATAATGCGTCAGCTAACACAGCTGCAATTAATATGTTTAAACGTAGCTTGAAACCTGCGTTTAGGGGGGAAATTTTTCATCAACAGTGTGCATGTCACATAATTAATTTAGTAGTTTAGACAGGAATTGAACATATCTCAGCTAATCTTACAAATATTAGATAATCATTATCATTCATATCTAATTCTGGAGCTCAACTCCAAGAATTCAAACAATATTGCAGGAACAGTCAGATGCGCCCAAGAAGGTTTCCAACTGACATGAGACATAGGTGAAATTCCACATATTTAATGTTGAAGGCAGCACTCTAATATTCGCAGCTTATCACGACATACGTAAACAGTAAGAACGATGAAATTTTAATTTTCAATCATGATTGGCAGATTGCTGAGTATTTTTTTAAATTTCTAGAAGTTTTTACAATGTTACTGAATTTCTTTCTGGAGTTTATTATCCTACTGCACATTTAGTTTTACATCAACTATTTAATATTTCAGAAACATTTTCTTATTATAGGGATACATAACTTTTTGGAAATATAGTTAAGTTAATGGAAAATAAATTTAAAAGTTATTAGTCAGGTTGTTCTATGTTATATGCATTGGCAACCATTTTAGATCCTAGGTGCGGAGTAGATGAAACTGAATCATTGATGATTGCTACCGCAGAAAATTTAGAAATAGATATGCAACTAACTATTACTAACGCAAAGAAAATGTTAGAAAAGGTTTTTAGTTTATATGAAGCAAAATACGACACAGGTAAAAAATAACAGGGAACTTCGACGTCAACTAGCAGTTCGGGGCCTAAATGATCGTTATGGAGTTTCTTGAAGAAGAAAGAGAAAACGGCAGAATTGTCATCAACACAAGTGTCTACCAAACTAGTAAAATATTTTGAAGCAAATTTTATAATCGATGATAACAAACTAGACACCTTACAGTGGTGGAAGAGCAAGACCGGTCGTTTTCCAACACTGTCCGTAATAGCTCGTGACATTCTGATAACTCCAGTGTCAACGGTAGTATCAGAGCAAGCTTTTAGTGCAAGCAATCAAATTCTGGACGAGAAGAGAAGTAGAATGCATCCAAATATCTTGGAGGCGCTAATGTGCATTAAAGACTGGGAAGATGCCAGAAGACGAAAATAACAATACACAGATGATTCAATGCAAGAATATTTTCTAACTTAGAAATAACAGAATCTTCTAGAAGCACTTAGGTTTGTAATTTACAATTCCTAGCTACTACACTCTTTTTTCCTTTGCTAAGATTTTGTCTCGATCTCCCCACGGGTTTTACTTAGCAAGATTTTTAACGAGGTAGTCATTTATGTGTACTTATTCCTATTATGTCAATTCAATAAAATCACATATTTTAGGGGCATATGATATATTTTTTTAATTAAATTTAAAAAAAAATACAAGGGCCGGGGCCGGCCCGTGAAGGGCCTGAGCCCAGGCCCGGCCCTGGCCTTGGCCCTTATGGACTAGAGCCAAGGGCCTGGACTGGGCCTGAGTGCCCAGGAACGGCCCTGCATTGTGTAGGGCCGTGCCAGGCCCGGCCCATGCCCGTAATGGGCTGCCCGGCTCGGCACGTTTGACACCACTAATTGAAAGCATTAAAAACTCGAATGACTAAAGAAATTATATATTATCATGGGAAATTATATGATAGGATAAAAAAAAATACAAATGTTGCAATATTGAACCATTAAGCTTCATAGATTTTGTTAATTTAAGTATAGTTATTTTTCTTAATTTTGATATAGTTTTAATATAATGTGACAATTTAATATTGAGCATTCGTATCAACATAATAAGAACAGTGAAGTGCTCTGTTTGGCAAAAGAAAAAAATAAAGAAGAAAGAAACAATAACAGTGAAGTAACTTTAAAAAAAAAAAAAAAAATTTGTACCCACAGTTCTCGCAATGGTCTCAATTACATTAATGCTAGAAATCATTGGACGTTGAATTAAAGAAGTAAAATGAATGTCTCCTTGACACCCCCAAAACATAATAACAATAATAATAATAATAATATAGCAACCCAGAAAAAAAAAAAGAAAAAAGGGAACAAGTTGTATTACAAATCTATGAACTTTAGTATTATATTGCAAATAAGCCTTTAGCATGATATCGTTGCAATCCACTTACAATTTAGCCTTTAGTATTGCATTACAATTCTATGAACTTTTGCCTCACATTAAGGGCTACTGCTTAATCAAAGGTTTCAAATGAAAGCCATACATACAAATACATAACAATTGGTATTTCTTTTTCACTTCAACGCCCAAGAAAGGCCAAACCAATTTAACTGAAATGAAAAAAGTGATATTGTACACATCTGGTCATAACATACATTTGTCAAACGACATGTGAATCCGATTTTGGCTTCTTCAAGCCAAGGACCACAAAGATTACTCCGAGGTAATCAAAGTTGTAAGCCTCACGAAAGAGTTGAAGCTTGTAGTCATTCCATGGAGGAAATCTAAACCAAAAATCAACAAGAAAGCTCCTTCTTGCCACTGCCTTCTCGTGGCTGAACGTGTCAAAGGAGAACTTCCCGTGGTACCTTCCGATCCCGCTCTCGCCGACCCCTCCGAATGGGATTGTGTCTGCAGCATACTGCATTTGGCAACAAAACACCATTGACACGAGGAATACCATGATGTCTAAAAACAACCCTTTTAATGTTTTCAAGTGGTGTTGAGAAATATACTTGGATTATTGCATCATTGAAAACTAGACTCCCAGATGATGTTTCTGATACCAATTTTCTCTCAAGCGTTTTGCTTTTGGTGAAGGCATAAATGGTGAGTGGCCTAGGCCTTGCCTTTATGAACTCTATGCTGTCTTCAATGTTCTCCAACTGTCCAAGCCAAGAAATTGACTCTTTGAAAGTTATAGAAATAAATATTAAAAAAAAAATGTGCATAAAATGAATGTGTATATCTCACAGTGATAATTGGAAGCAATGGACCAAATATTTCTTCCGTCATGATTTCTGCTTCAAGTGGGGGGTCCACCAAGATGGTTGGCTCAATGAACCTAACAACATTAAATTTGGTACGGAAGTTATAATTCAGCTAAGCAAATTGCATGTTAGCAAAGAGAACAGCCAGATTCTGCTATTTACAAGTTTTCTTCATCCGTTTTTCCCCCATAAACAATAGAAGCTTTAACTGTGGGATCGTCCAAGAGATTCTTGAGTCTTAAGAAATGTCGCCTGTTAACTATTCTCGCAACGGTGTTGGTCTCTCTGGGATTTTCTCCGAACATTTTCGTTGTGATAGCCTTCATTAGCTCCACCTGAACAACAAGAATATGTGAAACCAAAACAGTCTTGTATCGGAAAATCCAAGACAAAGAAAGAAAGAAGTGAGAATGTTAAAAGTTTCTTACTGCTTTGGGCAGGAACTTTTTCTCCACTAGAACATAATCAATTGTTATGCATGCTTGACCAGCACAGGTCCCAAATTTTCCCACCAGAATTCTTTTTACAGCCACCTTGGAATCAATGAACAGAAAAGAGCCAAATGTGTTTGACTGATAAATCACTCATTTTGTGAAAACTAAGGTTATCTATCTGTTTAATATTTACCTCTCTATCAAAAGAAAATGAAAGGGAGTCAAGAACAGCAGGGCATTTTCCACCAAGCTCCAAAGCAACCGGTGTCAGATACTTCACTGCTGCAGACATGACAATCCGCCCAACTCGAGCATTGCCTACATCATTAAATTAAACAATCAAATATAAGCAAATCACTAGAAGAAACACCAACTTTGCAGACAAAAGTGAATAAGAAGATGAAGATGAAAAATGGTCATCTTTACACATATACCAGCAGGGACAGATGCACTTGAAGGCCCACGGAGAACGTGTCTCCGCTCAATTAAAAAAAAAAAAAACAGAAATTAAGTTCATATACTTTCGTATTTTTCTTTGTATGGTCCTATTTAATATTTTTTTCTTAAATGTGCCTGCACTTAATATTTAGATTATTGTTTTTCCTTTGACAGTACCATAACCATCATTTAATTCCCTCTCGCCTCCTATTTCCTTTGTGTACATTTTTTTTTTCTAATTTATTAAAAATTTTGCTTGTTTTATATCAACAATTAGAACGTCGATGTATATAAGTTTATCATCGTTAAAATTGATTCATTTTAAGGAATAAAAAAATATAATGATGGTATAAAATGAAAACCAACTTCAACTGACACCTTCTGACAAAGTATGAGCTAAAATCTCCCATTTTGGATCATAATAATGATATTTTTTAAAATTACTAATCGGATATAAAACTCATACAACCTGTGTGCAATGCTTGCAAAATAGAAGAACTTTACGTGTCTTTAAAAGAAAAACATTAAGCTTTTTATCCACATAAAATCACAAATCACCGTTTTAATTTTATTTATTTTTTATCTTTATTATTTCCTAGTTTCTTTGGCACTGGGGTCCGCCTTGTTTATTATTTCCTAACTGAGATAAAATTCTGGATCCGTCATTACCAGTGAAGAATATCTTGTCCCATCTTTCCTGTAGGAGTTGTTCGCCGACGGATGGACCGCCTTCGACGACCTTGACAGCGTTACCGTCTAGGTAAGAGGTCATGGTGTTTGCTAAAAGAGAAGAACAGGCCGGAGCCAACTCTGAAGGCTTCAGCACAGCTGTGTTTCCAGCTGCTAAGGCTCCTATGAGGGGCTCCAAGGACAATCCTACAAAAAACACAATTTGATGTTACAAAAAGCAAAAGAAATAATGGCAAAAGAATTGGCAATAACAAAGTTGATAGTTTTGTCTTTCAATAGGATTTGATGACTCACCAAATGGAAAATTCCATGCAGAGACTATGAGGACCAGACCAAGAGGCTCAGGAAGCAATTCTGCAGTGGTCAGTACTGCAACTGCCGGCAGCTTAACCTATTAAAGCAGATAGAGATCATTAGAAGTTATTTGACAGAACATAAACCTTTTTTTTCCCCCCTTAATGAACAAATCTCAAAAATGGGCAATACATAATAAAGGAAGAGAAAAAAACGACAGCAAAGTCTGCTCTTATCTATATCTTCATGTGGCAGAACATGAAAAATTATATTGTGTTATGTCATAATAAGTGTGGCATAGTTATCCATTCCCAACTTAGTGAGACAAGACTTACAAGGATAGGAACTACCTTTTTTGGCGACATCCATGCTTTCAAAGAGTTCAAAGCGTAATTAAGAGACTTTATCAAGGTTCCAATCTGCAAGAAAATTAAAAAAGAAATGTTATTTGGTTCCCTCACAATCAACTTTGATGTGAAGTTTTATATACTTTAGCAAACAAAACCTAATAAAGTGATGACTAACTACATGATGTTTGAACGTATTAAACCAATCTCATGCTCAATATCATTGCTTGTGATAGAAGTAACCAAACCCAAAAAACAAAAACAAAAACAGAAAACAAATTATATAAATCAAACCTCATCTCGATAAGCCTCAGCCCGGTGCTTTCCCAAGTCTTGTTTAAGAGCCTTCATTATATCTCCTTCATTTTCCTTTATAAAGTTAAGCAAACCTTTGATCTGTGTTTTTCTCCAAGAGGCTTCCTTAGTCCTTCCACACCTGAAGTACAACCTCAGAGACTCAAGATCTCCCTGCAAATTTCTTGGAGAATCCATAGCTCAGTGGAGAAACTATTGAACTTGGTCACTTAATTTATATCATGAAGTTTTATCATCTTTCATTTACTGTTTCTAACTTTTTATTGTCACTAACTCAACCGACTTTCTTGCCCTCATGGTTGGTTGTATTGAATTTAAAGCGTGTGTATTATGAGGAAACAAAATAGAAAATGTGGGTTCATTTGGAAATTCACATCTTAATCAACTTTCTAGTCCAATGATGTATGTACGTACATAAATATAGGGGTATAGTTGTTGTCATAGCTGAGGACCACCTGCATAGGTTATGACCTACGAATTTAAAGCATTAAAATGGATGGGAATTGACAGAATTTTAATGAGTTCCAAAACATTGTAAAGTCGGAAAGAAAGGACAACTTATGTTGCTGAAAAAATGAGTAGATTTGACCATTTCCTCAATTGGGTCTGTATTTTTTGTCTAAATGACTTACAAAATATCTTTATTAATGGTTTTTAAGCGTAGGTTTTAGTGCTCAAATTGGGTTGCTAAAATGTGTTGAAATGTTTTGATTTTAGTATCCCATGTTGCCTAAACCCTCATCTTTAATTACATAATCTAGGATTCTCTTAACTTGCAATTGAAAGAAATTTTTTTTTTTTAAAAGGTATTTGAATTTGAACAAAATGTCATGTGAGATTAATATTGCAGGTGAAGAAAACTTATCAACATTCCCCTTTAAAAAAGAAAAAAGAAAAAAAAAAAGAAAAAGAACTTATCAACATTTCACATGGCCTGGCTTTAATTACATTTTCTTAGGCAAAGTTTAAACTCTAACAGGCCATTTGAAATATAAATAAACTTAGCCATCCAACTAGACCAAATTAACATCATCGCAGTAGAAAGCTATTTGTTGTGTGTTTTAGAGATTCAAGTGTTTTTTTTTTTGTGCATCGCCATTGTACGTTAATAACAGATTAATAATTCCATCCACGAGAAAACTAAAATTAGACCCCAAAAAGGACAGAAGCAAAAAAAAAAATGTTGATATTGAATGGTGAAGACAGAGAGGTAAAAAGTTCATGAAAGCTTACACGAGAAACACAACTCTTTAAAAGTGGTAATGGGACATATCATGGATGGTAGTTGCGCTCAATAAAGTGAAGCATTCAATGTAAATCTTTAAACAATTGCCTTCCCCAAAAAAAGCCAATTATTCGTCCTCACATTCTAGTTTAACATAACAAATCATGTCGAGATTCTTTTTTTTCATTTTATTTTAACTGATCCTGTCCTGGTGGGTAGCTAAATGTTGGTAAACAACATAAATGCCAAGTTGATGAGTTTGATAGATAAGAATTCACCATAGCAAGTTTGAATCGTTACTGCCATTTATGAACCACAACAAATTTAGACAGTTATATTAGAATTTCACATTGGCTGGAAGTATTTGTATGATCCACTTAATAAGGTGAGGGCAATCTTCTTCTAACAAGCCAATTTTGCTAGGTTGAGTTAGGCCCAATATCCTTTGATTTTTATAAAATAGTATAAGAACAAGCCCAGTTTTGCAATGTTGGGTCCTCCAATATCGACTTATTCACAGCAGTTTGACATGGTCCACGTTGTGCGTGAGGGGACGTATTAGAATCTCATATTAACTGGAGATATTAACATAATTCACTTAATAAGATGAGGACAATCCTACTCTAGCAAGCCGATTTTACTAAGTTAAATTAGACCTAATATCTTTTGATTTCTGTAAAAAGTTAATATTCATGTTCATTGATGTTTCAACTCAGAAAAGTGGTTGACTCCATTTTTCTTTATGGTCTCTTTGGATGTGAGAATTGAGAACTGATTTAGATGCACGAAATTATAAAGAATTTAGTGAGAAGCTCCCAAGTTTTTTATCCGAAATATGTACGTATTCGTCAAAAGAAAACTGTTAAAATATCAACATCGTGAATATGATAATGCTCACTTGTCTTAAACAAATAAAAAACTATCATTTAATGTCATGTGAAGAACCATCTAATCAAAATGTCGGTTGATAGTTGTGACAAGAACTGAAGAAAGCATATAATTGCAGCACTAATTAATTTGTTTACAATGCGCATTTTCCTGATATATATATATATATTTTTTTTTACAATGCGCATTTCCCCGTCCGATAAGCAACTTGAAAGGGAAATGCAGACTGTAGAGCCAACGTCAGAACCATAAAGATGTGGAGGTGTATTTTCCTGTCGTTTTCCAATTCCCTGCTTGATGGAAACTTAGGAATGTGTCCCCACTTTCCAGCCAGGAAAGATGCAGGGAAAAAAAAAAGGGTTAATACAGCTAGTAATTCACTGGTCTATTCATATTTGGAATTCACCTGTTATTTTCAGCATCTCCCGCGGCATTTCTTGATTTATATCAGGATGATGAAACGTCTCGTCTCCAGGTACTTGACGGTGCCAATTTTCTATTACGTGGCACAAGATTGGCTTGTGGTCCTGTTTTAGATTTTCCTGTAAACAAAAATGAGTTAGAGATACGTAGAGATACGTATGCTTGTATGTTCGAGGATAGACAAGCCTGTAGTTCCCAATCCAACAAATCATGTCCTTTTAAGCCGTATAAAAATTAATCTAAAGGTTAAAAGAGAGAGATTTAGGGGAAAACAGAGAAATCCAGATTTGTAACACAACACCTTATGTTTGCTACACCTTTTTTTAACTATAATATAATTGCCTATAAGGGATTACGCCTGTAGAAGTGAGACTAGAACTAACCATCACTTTTTTCCAATTTTCTCCTGCTGCGCCATAGAAGCCGGATTGGTGTACCAGAAAATCCTGCATCTGTACGTAGTTGCTTCTCCATAAAACGCCGATAGGTCTCAGGAAAAAGTTTTGCATCATTAACAAAGAACACAAACGTAGGTGGCCTTATAGCAGCCTGCATATGATGAATAACAGGTAAAATTCTTAGGAATGCTGATTTACGATGTAACATATAGGATAGAGAAGTTCAAAAGAACAGAACGTAAGTGGCTGTGTATAGAGATAAATTTCAGTACTAAGGCGTTATAACTAGATAGAAGCAATACTTAATTACAGGATTCAGGTATCTACTGAGATATAATTAACATTAAAACAAAAAAAAATACACCCAATGATCATTAACTCTGCTAAAAGAGAGAAGATGTTAAGAAATAGATATGCATAACTTTTATTAAAGTTGCAAAATACGTGGAATTCATAACAAGGTCGTATTCTTGAATTTGGAATGAAAAGAGGAGTAATGCTTCCTACGTATCGTATTGAATCCGAAATTGAAATCATGAGTTGAACCAGAGCATGGTTATTTTCCGTATTGCATTATCAATGGTTACCTGAGTACAGTAATAAACACGTCCACGCTTGCCACCGCGTGTTCTTGGAGGTGCTTTGAAAGCAAGTGCTTCCTGTAAAACTTGATTCAATATGGAAGTACCTAACCTTCTTGATCTCTCCTTTTCAACCATGCTAGCAGCACCAATTATCCTGAGCCAAAAAAACAATAACAATTAATAAGAAAAACAATGCAGAAAGATAAAATGTAACCCTATGGCAACCAATATGGCAGAGAAATGGTATGAAAAGCAATTATATAGAGGAATCTAAAACAATACTATCCAAATCTGGGATTCCAGATATGGAAGAACATACTTTTCCACACTCTGACCAGCTATGGCAGTTGAATATACAATAGGAGCCCAATCAAGTATGCGAAGCTTCTCCCTAACATCTTGCTCATAGTACATTGCAGTCTGCTGATTTTTATTTGGTATGGTATCCCATTTATTAACTACTATAAGGCAACCTTTCCCTTCTTTTTCTATCCTTTCAGCGATCTTGAAATCCTACATTAAGGTAAAAAATGGTAATCAAACATTAAGGGCGGGAAAGGCATACTATTTTAGGAAAATTACAGGCACATTTCACAAATTATCAAATTCTGACCCTACATAAATCCAAGGATTAACTACCTGCTCTGTAATACAAGCCATGGCCTCAATAACAAGAGCTACAACATCAGAACGACGAATAGCACGGAACGCTCGATTTACTGATAGAGCCTCTGTCACGCTACCTGATGAAGCTACAACTGCTCTTCTTCTGATTCCAGCAGTATCAATCAGACGGAACTTCTGCAAAACATTGAATCATGCATAAGGCATCTGACGTCAACTAACATTAGCCAACAAAGTGTCAATTTTATATGATCCGAAGAAATCAGCTCCAGATCATAGTGAAGAGAGCAGTAGCTAATCCTATTTTTAATTCAACAAAGGAATAGCCAAAAACATAAACTGAACGCTGATCTGACAGTGGTATTTTGATGCTTAAAGCATGTAATCCAAGAGTCAACCAGCAAGATTTTTTGTTTTCTTGTATTAGTGATACAAGAGCAGAGAAGCTTGAATAGACAGTATGCCCCAACCAGACAAAGCAATTACGACACAGAAGTTGTTCAGAAGATTCTAATCTAGTCTTGTTCCCCTAAAATATATTGGTATTTCTAGCCTAAAATGAATAAAACCTTCAGAAAAATAGTCAACAAGAGGTAGAAGGTAGTGTAACAGCAAGAAACCAAACCTCGCCATCTGGTCCCGTATACTCAGTATCAATGGCATCTCGGGTAGTTCCACTGACTGGGCTAACAATAGCCCTGTCTTCTCCAACCAACGCATTCAAAATGCTACTTTTACCAACATTTGGTCGACCAACAATTGCCATTGCAGGAATATAATCCTCCTCTTCTTCAAAATCCGCTTGACCCTAGAAAGCAGGGAAAGAAATTAAATCAGAAATTTAATTATAAGTACGACATTCCAATCATTACTCAAAACATTAAAAAGAAGCTTTAATAAAAAACTGATTATATACCAGGAAAAAATAGATAAAGAGGAACATCCAACCTCAATCTTTCTCAGTCCTAAACAAACAAAATCTAGCAGTTCTCCGGTGCCAGTTCCAGACAAAGCAGATACAGGAAGTGGTGAAAACCTGGTTAAATAATAAAAAAACTCACGCTTTTCAGTTTAACCTTGAAAAGGATATCCACCATATTCGAACTCAAGAGCGTACAAAAACTGTCCGATTCATAATAAAATCCTACATCGCGGTATTCACAAAATAAGTTTTGAGGACAGAAAAAAAAAACAAAAAACAAAAAACAAAACAAAAAGCAAGAGTTCAGCGCACCCTAAGGACCAGAAATCTATTGCCTGCATCATTCCTTTCCGTGGAGATTCGCACTTATTAACTGCCAGAATGACACACTTATCCGAGTAGTTTTTACGTAACCAGCCCGCAATTTCCTCATCAGCTGCTGTCAGACCTGCCTGCTAGCAGATTTAGTATCACTATCTTTGTATTGTGGCACAAAGCCAATTTCCAGATCATAAAGACAAGAGGGTGCTAAGCTTAATCAATTTTCAAACGTAGTGAAGTATATTATGTTAATTCCGTAACAATAATATAAATAAACAACTGAGGATCAGGAGAAGAGTTAACTGCTATTCTTATGTTCTATGGTTCGCACCTGGCCATCAACCACGAATATGATGACAGATGATTCTTCTACAGCTGCAGTAGCTTGTCGTTCAATCATCGAGGGCATTCTAGCAATAGCTGCCTCCCTGGAGGCAAGTGGAATCCCATCCATGCCAATTGTTGTTGTAATAGCTAATTCTTCCATAACATTATCATGTGATTTGGAAAGCGTGAGAACACCTCCAGTATCAATTACCATGAATTCATAATCCCCCCAAAAAGATCTGCCATATAAGCGGTCCCTTGTAACCCCAGGTTCATCAACTACAATAGCCCTGTTCCCCTACACCATTGCAACAAAAAGTAATTCAACTTCCAGAAGGTAAGGTTGTACATAATGAACCCAAGAATCATATGCTCGTGAGTAGTGAAAGCATGAGATGATTAGAAAAAGGAAAGAATTCATGATATAATACCCCAACAAGACGATTGAATAATGCTGATTTACCAACATTTGGCCTTCCAACAATTGCAACTTTTGGAAGAAGATGGTCAGGGATCTGCGCAAGTGATTTCAAGTGATAAGCTAATAGAAGATACATTCTCAACTTCCCTAAAAAAAATCTCAACTCAATTCTTTTTTTCTTTTCTAAGAGATATGAGTCCTCCAAATTACATTAAAGAAACAATGATTTGATCACATGATAGGAAATTGAATTTCTTAAGCCGCTAGCATTGGATAGGGAAAAAAAAATCCACTCTCTTTTTCCAAAGATTTTCGTTATGAATGGTTAAATATTATATTCCAAAAAGAAACATAGGATCAAGAAAAGCTGCTTGCTTACACTTTTCACAGTACTTTTATGCCTCTTCTGCTTTCGACCAATTTCCTTATGGTCAATTTTCTCATCTTCTGAAATCATCACAGTAATTGATATATAATTAACGACAAAACCAAGACACAAACGAGATTGACACCCTAAGGCAGCAAGATTGGAACTTTACGTCGAAATGCTCAATTAAACATATGATCTGAAATTGAAAAAAAAAATCATTCATAAAATATGAGTTTGAAAAGTAATAACCCAAACACATTTGTTACATGAATCTTTTATTATCCACAGAAAATTATTTCAAAACTTAGCTCTACGCCTTCTTCCCTTTCATCGATTGGTTAAGGGAATAAAAACGAAAATAAAATAAAAAAACAAGATAAAAACATGCCGAATTTCCAAATTCTTAGATCAACACAACGATAACAGAATTGTCTGTTCTTCACCGCACTTCAATAGCCATTAGTAAACCAAATGCAGAAGCAAAATCGCATTTTTATCCAACCAAACTGTTTCGGTAAAATGGTGCAAGATTTATAGAGTAAAAAACGCACCGATTTTGAGCTGGTTGGACAAGGAAGAGGAAAAATCTCGAACAGCGTCCAGAGCTTCTTGTTCGAGGGCGTCCACATCAATCATGGCGTAACTTTCACCGTCAGGATCGTCGCCACTTTCTTCTTCATATTCAAATTCCTCATACTCTTCGTCTTCGTTTTCGTTGAATTCATCGGAAGATAAGCTGGAAATGCAGCGAGGAATGGAGGGAAAAGATTTGCGGAACGGAACAAGCGAGGGACGTGAGGGGGAGAGAGAAAAGGAAGAAGGTCTGAGAAGTGGGGAGAGGAGAGAGAGTGACTTAGAGAGAGGGGAAGACGAAGGGGTAGTGCTTAAGAAGAAGAGCTCTAAAGCTGCCATTTTAGTTCAGAGAGCTCTATGACCTTCTGCTTCTGCTTCTGCTTCTGCGTGTGTTTTTGGAGAAGAAGATGCAGCAGAGATGACGGGTGATGGGGGTTTATCCACAACTTGGTTTGGGGTTTTAGACGTTTGACAAGAAGGAAAAGGATATGATGCTAAAAAACGACTTGCCGTTTACACCTCTGAAAAGTTGTTATTTTCAATGTGAAGAACCATTTTTTAGTTTTCTTAAGAAAGTTACGTAACTCAAACCACATGTCATTACTTTAAAATTGATTGTCGTCTACATTTCAAAAAAAAAAATATATATATTGCAGTCTATTTCAAGGTACGACATGTTTCTAGTATTAATCTTGCTTCGTACGTGAAACAACACAACGTATCTAATCTTGCTTTCGTACGTTACACGTCAATCATATATCAGCAGCAATGTGTTTGTAAACGCCATGCCGTTGTTGTTTAAGTCTAACAGTGTTTGTGACGGAATACGACATGTTGTTAGATCTCAACTTTGATGTCGTTCAAGTGTAAAGCGACATGTCGGTACAGCCGTGGGAGCACTTCAACACTCTATACAGGGTAAAACTAGAAGAAATTCATTCAAGCATATTTGGATTTGGTAAGTATTCCGGTTTCAAAAATCGGGGCTTAATTTAGTGATACAAAGAAGTCTTGCAGCAAATTTGGTAAAAATTGAACCCATCTATGATGAAATGTAGGCAATGTGAACTTACTAATTACTATACCTATAGTCTATACACTTAAAAGACCAAAGGTCCCTATCTAATTGTCACCTACGAGAATTTTCCATCATTCCATGGCTGTATAACTATACTTATATTTATGCACTCTCAGAATATCCGAAACCACTTCTCTCGCAACCGTTGGAGCCACTTCATTGGGAAGGATAATGCCTGCCTGCCTTGTTTGGCAGCAGCAATGTGGGAACTTCTCTGTCCCCTGTCCAGCTCTGTACTGCTTTTCTGACCAGGCTCTATTGTGGGACTCTCCGGCTTCACTTTTATCTTAACTGGTTTTCCAAGGAGCGACTTATCTTCCATTTTCGCAATCTCGAGAGCCTTTTCACATACAGGAAAGCCTTGGTCATCCCAAGACTCCAATATAATGCCAGAGCCCAAGCAGCTCTTCCCCTGGTAGAAGGCTGCAAACTGTCCTACTGCCAGGCCTTGATCATCTTCGGATAACTGGACAACTGCAACATCTTCACCACTGTTTTCTCCAGATTCCATAGTAAAGCTACAATTGTAAAACCCAGGGCCATGTCTGACCTGAAACATTGAGAATAAGAATGATATTACTTGCGTGCCTTGTGTAAAATACATTCTTTCATTCAGTAATCTTTACTGTTCAAGAACTAGACATGTCAATATTCCTAAAGAGAATAACCTTGGTACTTGTCCGAGTGATTTGCTTTGATATTGTCATACAGCTCGTAAGAAAACTAAGATTGCATGGCAATATGAACACTAATTGAAGGAAGGACAAGGAGAGACATTGGAAATAAATTGCTCGACCTTGCACTGCAGTTGACAGGTTTGATCTGGAGGCAAACCATTTAGCCATTTCAAGGAGCCAACACGGAAAATTCGTCTTCTTTTGTCAAAGGAAAAGTAATTTCTTGATGCAAAAACTACATTGTTTTTTACATCCTTCTCAACCACATACCTGCACGAGAAAAATCCAATGACTACTCAAGGAGAACGAGATACGCTAGAAAAACAATTAACTATTATTAAAATTTAATTGTTTTAATGTCCCTAGCCAACAATTATCCTAATAATATATATAGAAGAACATTTAGTTTCAATGAAATATCATGAGTGATACCAATACTAAAGCAGATAAAAAGCAAAGTTGCTGCAACAACATACTAGTACACCTTTCTTTCAACGGCCAAGGATAATGTAACATAACTGGACGCATTATTACTAACCAATTTGTGGATAACAATCAATAGTTACAGAGCATACCAGGGTCCTCCAGGAAGGCGTAGACCTTGACGTTGACCAATTGTATAGAACCAAAAACCCCGATGCATTCCCAAGAAATCTCCTGTTTCAGCTTCTAAAATGATACCTTCCTTCTCACCTATGTGTCTAGCGACAAATTCACTAAACTTTATCTAAAGCCAAAAGAAAAAAAAAAAACAAAAAACAAAAAACCAAAAACAAAAACAAAACAAAAAAGAACAAAGTCATTGTTGATTATAACTCGAATGTTTTCATTGTGGCATGTTAGAAAGAGAAAACAATAATTAGCATTCTAAGGGAAATTTGGAAACAAAGTATAATTAACGTCACACTATTGATATCAAAGGCTAGATGAATTTCTAGAGTTTCTTTTCTAATTCAAGTCAACTAGTAAAAATATAGATAGGACAACAACAAGCCTTAATCCCAACTTAATTGGCGGCTATATGCATTTCACTTTTCCACGCAGCTCTGTTTGAAATTAGACTTTCCTGAAGGCCTAGATCTAAAATGTCTTTCCTAACTACTTCGGTCCACATAATTCTTAGTCTACCCCTCCCTCTCCCCGTACCAACTCAAGCGGCTTTCACGCACCTTATCTTCTATTGGTGCTACACCTACTTTACTACGAATAACTTCATTTCTTATGCGATTCATTCTCATATGGCTACTCATCCATCTTAACATACGCATTTCTGTCACACTCATCTTAGATATATGTTGTCTTTTAATGGCCCAACATTCACTACCATATAACATAGCTGGGATTGCAGTCCTATATAACCCACCCTGCCTTAATCCTATGTTGAATATCCTCTTCTATATCTCCTTCGTACTGCACTATAGACCCAAGGTACCTAAACTTCCTAGAAAACCCAATCTCCACACCATCTAAAGAAATTCCATCACTCTGATTACTTGAGTTACTAAACCTACAATGCATGTATTCAGTTTTCGTCATACTTAACTTAAATCCCTTCGTCTCGAGAGTCTGTCTCCACAGTTCTAACTTACAGTTAACTCCTTCCCTATGTTCATCAACTAAAACTATATCGTCAGCAAAAAGAATACACCAAGGAACTCTATCTTGGATTTCTCTTGTCAGCCCATCCATCACAATGGTAAAAAGATAAGGACTAAGAGCAGATCCTTGATGAAGACCGATCCGAATGGGCAACTCTGCCATGTAGGAGAATATTTTCAATGTTTCATAATGATTAATGCGCAAGAAAAAATCTTCGAGGCAGGTAAGAATAAGTCGAAAACAGAAATATAACATATACCTTCCCGAGAAAGCATATCCCTTGTGAATCCTTTCTGTCTTTATTAGGTAGATCAAATTTTTTGGCAAGCTTGCGAACTTCTTCCTGGAGATAAATATTTACCCAAAAGAAAAAGACACTAGACCTCAGTGAAGATGAATTCTGGTGTGAAACCATAAAAGTTAACTAAGAGCTGCTGCACTTTCTAGTTGTCTGAATTCGTCTCAACAATATGCTTTTCTCTCAGCCATAGTCTATGATACTCTCTATGTTATTTCAATTACATAGCAATATCATGAAGATGGATGAGATTGGTAGTTTAGTATGGAGTAAAAAGTTCACTGCACGTGGATGAGATTACTATTTAGTAAAATGTTGCAATGCGGTCAAAATTAGCCACTGACCTTTGAGATACAACCAAGTGGGAAAACTAATCGCTTAAGCTGGGCCTGAGACAGATGTGAAAGGAAGTAGGTCTGATCCTTCACCTAAAAAGCAAAAATTAGAAGATATGAACAGGGGAAACTGTGTATATAACAGGTCCAAACATACTTGAAAATAGAGATAAATTATCCCAATGCAAAGTAATATCATGACACAAAATGCAGAACGTGAAAATAGATTCCACGAGAACATGACAATAAAGGAAACTAATAATATCTGCAGTTGAAGAATAAATAAAATACTTATTATCAGAACGCAAAGTAATATCATGACAGAAAATGAAGAAAGTGAAAATAGATTCCACAAGAACATGACAATAAAGAAAACTAACAATATCAGCAGTTGAAGAATAAATAAGTTAGCATTCGGAAATTCGTTATTCATAAGTACCATGTCTTGTGATAGTTCCAAAACAGATGCATCGCCCCTTTCATTTGTAAATGAGTGGACAACGTTCGCATAATGTCCAGAAGCAACGTAGTCGAACTCCATACTGCTGATGGCATCCATAAATGAACCTGAAAATAATCACAAGCAAATCAAAAAAAGGGATCCAAAAACACAATTACGGCTTCTTAAGATTCCTCTGAACACGTACCAAACTTTATTCTCGTATTGCAAAGAACATCTGGATTAGGGGTACGGCCACAGCGATACTCGTCAATAATGTAGGATACCTGAAACATGAAAAAAAAAAAAAAAAAAAAAAAAAATTCATAACTTATTTTCAGAGCAGAATCAACTTTTATAGCTTAAATAACATTACTAGTCAGCTGAAGTCCCAATGAAGAAACAAAGTTTTCGGAACAGATAATGAATTCTGCATAAGTAATGAAAACTATAAAATGCAAACTAAAATAAGACACTCTCAGAGCTAGTAATTTGTACCACATTCTTCCAATACTCATCAGTCAAATGTACAACTTCAAGTGGCACTTCAATCTGAAAAAGAAAATGCCAAAATTTAATAACAAAATATCTCTATTTCTCTCATGTGAAATAGGCAAATAGCAAACAAAAGCAAAAGCTTCCAATAAGGAAAAAACAGACCTGACTACAAACAGCTTTGGCATACTTCAAATCCTCTTCCCATGGACACTCCGACCAAAAGTTCTCGAAATCTTCCTACACCAAAAAAACACGCATTGATTAATAAATAATCAATTAATTAACTCAAAACTAATCAATAATTAACGTAACTCTCCTTACTTGGAACCAAATCTTGAGGTAAAAGGCGGTACAGGAGTGGCCGGCGGCGTGGAGGAGGCGCAGAGCGACGCTGCTGTCGACGCCGCCGCTGAGAAGCACGGCGACTCTGAGGCGTTTGTGAGGCATCGAACACGACAAGTACGGCTCGATATCGCCATCGAAGCTCTTCGAATGGTGCGAGGACGAGACCGCGGAAGCAGCGGAGACGGAGAAGAGCCTGAAAACGAGGGATTTGGAGGTCGGAAGATGGGGTTTTGGAGGGAGGCGAGTTCGTGGTTTGAGAGGGAGAGATATGAAGCGAGATTGAATGATAAGAGAAGACGAAGGTATTGGCATTACTCTGGTAAGTCTGAGTCTTGCGGCCATATTTGCATCGAAGGTCTCTGTGTTGGAAACTGTGGATAAGAAGCTTTTGGCTATGGCGATGGCAATATTCTAGGAAGAATAACCAGGCTCTGTTGAGAGTGAGTAACTATTGAGCTTTGAAATCCCGGCAAGACATTTGACGACATGTTTGTTTTTTATATAAAAATGGAAATGAAAATGTTTTAAGAGAAATTATTTTTAAAAATGTGTTTGATAATTTTATTAAAGTTGTGTTTAGTTGGTGGATTCGTGTCATGATTTGAAGTATAGTTCGTGGTTCGTTACAGTTTTTTCTCTCATAAAAAATACACATAAATAAAAAATAATTCTAAATTATAATTCTGAATTCATGAACCAAATGTCCACTAAGAGATTATTTTCAGTATAAAAAAACCATTAATGTCTCTATTTTTCTCTCTGCTTAAGAGAAGAGAAAACGAAAATAAAAAATGACTAAAAGTCATTTTTCATTTATCTCTCATTTTATACTAAACTAAAAAATCATTTTCATTTCTATTTTTTGTCTTTAATTGTATCAAATGTCGTTTTAAAATCGTTTTTATTTTTCCTCAAAAACGTAAAAAATAAAAACAAGAACAACTCCAAACACGATAATCTTAATTTAGGCCTCGTTCACTTCGCGGATTCGAGTTGAGATGTGACATTTTCTGAGAGTTTTTCACTGTAGCAGAAAAAGTTAGATGTGACATTTTCTGAGAGCTTTTTACTGTAAAAACTTAAAACTGAAAACTCAAATCGGTGAAATGAACGAGGCCTTACAATTTCGTACGTCACGTCATGTTTATGTGTTTTCTGATATGTCGTCCTAAAATTATTTTCCCTAATAATTGACTTGCCTAAAAAATATTTGTATTTACTGGAATGCCCTTAAATAAATAAAAAATTGAATTAGATGGAGGCAGGGAGCTCAAAAATAGTTCGGAGCATGGCTTTTATTTTGATTTTTTTTTTTAATTATTGAGTATTGATTTGTCTATCTTTAGTAGCTTATGGAAAATCGAAACGTAAAAAAACCCCATCCGAACACTTAAGAAAAATCCAACTAGCCAATCTTAATTTTACCACGTCAATTATCTTTTTCGTTTTTGTTTCATCATTATAATACCGTCAAATTTTAGCCAGATAAAATGTTATTTATGTTTTTACTATTTATCGAAATATAAATAGACAGAAATTATAAAGTGATGCTTAAATGATTTGATTAATTTTTTGTTACTTATTTTTGCAGTATCATTTGATTCATGAAAAGAATAATATATTGCAAAAACACTTGCGAGGATATAGATGGCAAATGCATTTTTAAAAAATTATTGTTTGATTTATTTATAAGAAAATTTGTATTGTAAAAATTTACAAGGGTCTACATGCAAATACATATAAAACATGGGTGTTTTTAAAACTTAAAAGCTTCAAAAGGGTAAATAATAGAATTACATGAAAACATCAATACCCTTTCCAGAAAAGAACGAAGCTATAAATACCACGAAAGGGTTTCGCTAAACCCTTTGGCCGCTCTTTCTTATTGTTCGGTGCACCGCCGCAGAACCAGTTAACTCTTAGGGCGTGCGAAATATCATTTCTACCCACACCGCCGCCGCTTCTTTCTTCGCTCCGTCTATAGCCGCTACTCTCCGGTTGCTTTTAGGTGTTTTCTTCTCTCTCTCTCTATCTCTGTTCTGTTCTTTTTATGTTATCTTTCTGAAATGTTAATTTGATTTTTGCTCCACGAGAAATAAGTATTGTCGAGAATGAAGCAAGTTGATAATAGAATTGGCCTTAAATCATCCCAGTTTTTCTGGTTTAAAATGAAAATTTTGGACCATCAGTTTTTTTTTTTTTTTTTTTTTTCCATTCGATAGCATTTGATTGCCAGATCCGCCGAAAAATTCTTTCTTTTTTTCAGAAAAAAGGAATTATTTTCCATGACTTTCTATCATGAATCCGTTCCCATTGAATTTGTAATTACAGTGATTTTTTATCATCATGTGTGTATGTTTGTCGACTAATTTATTAGAAAGAAGAGATTGGTTCTGAGAAAGCTGGTGAATTTCATTTTGTCTGTGATTGGTTCTGATCAATATGAATATTTATATGTCTTGTACTTATCATATTGTCAGATTAATCAGGAAACATGGTGCAATATAACTTTAAGAAGATTACTGTGGTACCAAATGGCAAGGACTTCATTGACATCATCCTATCTCGCACCCAACGGCAGACCCCGACCGTTGTCCACAAGGGCTATTCCATTTCCCGTCTTCGTCAGTTTTATATGCGCAAAGTGAAGTATACCCAACAGAATTTTCACGAAAAGCTCTCCACGATTATTGATGAGTTCCCGAGGTTGGATGATATTCATCCTTTTTACGGTGATCTTCTTCATGTTCTGTACAACAAGGACCACTATAAGCTTGCTCTTGGCCAAATTAATACTGCAAGAAACCTAATTAGTAAGATTGCCAAAGATTATGTCAAACTGTTGAAGTATGGTGACTCGCTTTACAGATGCAAGTGTCTGAAGGTTGCTGCTCTTGGCCGAATGTGTACTGTGATAAAAAGGGTTGGCCCTAGTTTTGCTTATTTGGAACAAATTAGGCAGCACATGGCAAGGCTACCTTCTATAGATCCTAACACCCGCACAATCTTGATTTGCGGGTATCCTAATGTTGGAAAGAGCTCATTTATAAACAAGATCACTAGGGCCGATGTTGATGTCCAACCCTATGCTTTTACCACAAAGTCACTCTTTGTGGGTCACACAGACTATAAATACCTGAGGTACCAAGTGATTGATACACCAGGGATTTTGGACCGTCCATTTGAAGACCGCAACATTATTGAGATGTGTAGTATCACAGCTTTGGCACATCTTAGAGCTGCTGTGATGTTCTTCTTGGACGTCTCTGGGTCTTGTGGCTATAGTATTGCCCAACAGGCTGCTCTTTTCCACAGCATCAAGTCTTTGTTTATGAACAAACCACTGATTATCGTCTGCAACAAGACTGATTTGCAGCCTTTGGAGGGTATATCAGAGGAAGACATGAAGTTGGTTATGGAGATGAAATCTGAGGCCATGAAGACTGTGATTGGTCAAGGAGGTGAGCCTACAGGTGATGAAGGCGTGCTGCTTACCATGAGCACTTTAACCGAGGACGGTGTAATTGCTGTGAAGAATGCTGCTTGCGAGAGGTTATTGAATCAGAGGGTTGAATTGAAGATGAAATCCAAAAAACTAAATGACTGCCTGAACAGGTTTCACGTTGCAATGCCGAAACCACGTGACCAGAAGGAAAGGCCACCATGCATACCTCAGGGAGTTTTGGAAGCTAAGGCCAAGGAAGCAGCAGAGAAGGAAAAGAGAGAAACTGAAAGGGATTTGGAGAATGAGAATGGTGGTGCTGGTGTGTACTCTGCTAGCTTAAAGAAGAATTATATCTTAGCCAATGATGAATGGAAGGAAGATACAATGCCAGAAATTCTTGATGGGCACAATGTGTATGACTTTATCGATCCTGATATCTTAGAAAGGCTTGAAGAGTTGGAACGAGAAGAAGGACTCCGACAGGAGGAGGCAGCTGATGATGATTTTGAGATGGATGGGCAGGAATTGACTCCAGAAGAGCAGAAGGCATTGGCCGAGATCAGGAAGAAGAAAAGCCTGCTCATTCAACAGCATAGGATGAAGAAAAGCACTGCAGAAAGCAGGCCAACTGTACCTCGGAAGTTTGACAAAGACAGGGAGTTCACAACAGAGAGGATGGGAAGGCAGCTATCAGCTTTGGGGGTTGATCCGAGTTTGGCAATTCAAAGAGCTCGCGGCAGGTCTCTCTCCAGGAGAGGCGAAAAGAGGGGGAGATCATTTGATAGAGACACTGATGGTGATGCTATGGATGTGGATACGGAAGCACCTAACAAGAAGCTGCGTGCGAGGACTAGATCCCTGTTGCTCGCAAGGTCTAGGTCAAGGTCAAGGCCGCCAACTGAAGTTGTTCCTGGTGAGGGCTTTAAGGACATTACTCAAAAGAGCAGGGCAGTGAAAATTGCGAAGAAGTCTATTAAGAAGAGAAACAAAGATGCTCGTCGTGGAGAGGCAGATAGGGTTATTCCTACTTTGAAACCAAAGCACTTGTATTCCGGAAAACGCTCAACTGGAAAAACCGATAGGCGTTAAATTGTCTGAGGTACATCACAATATTGTATTTCTCTTTGCTGGTTCTTGAACAGAGAAACAAATTTGCTATAATTTTCTTGTTGAAGTTGTTTCAGTGCTCAACTGCATATGAATTTGTGGATATATCGTGTGCACTTTTAAATGTTCTCTGAAATTTGTTTTCCTGGTGCTATGAGTGTCGACTTTCATGCTTTTCTCGTATGCTCATTATCTTTATCCTTTTAGATGGTTTTGGCTCAGGTTCTAGTAATTCAGCTAGAAAATGACGATACATTTCTTGTTGCAGTGGAGAGGTTTTGTACCTCGCGAGAGTGGAAACAGTACGAACACACATCATGCTTTCTGTGGAAGGAAAATAACACTATTTCATTTACCGTTTGTTGGGAGATTGCAGTTTTTGAGATCCTGGGACATGATGTTAATATCCATAATGTTGGATGTGTCATTTTTTGGCGCGTGATGAGTCTCAAGTTTTTTTTTTTAGTTATTGATGACTGCACTATTTCATTTACCGTTTGTTGGGAGATTGCAGTTTTTGAGATCCTGGGACATGATGTTAATATCCATAATGTTGGATGTGTCAATTTTTGGCGCGTGATGAGTCTCAAGTTTTTTTTTTTAGTTATTGATGACTTCATAGTTTGTCCTCATTTTGTTCTTTTATATTCGTACTTTATTGATGACTTCATAGTTTGTCCTCATTTTGTTCTTTTATATTCGTACTTCCCGAATTTTGCTATGTTAAATTATGAGTTTATCCAAGTAATTTCCTGTTTGTAGTACTCTTCTCCATTTCTGTATAAATTCGATTTTCCTTTCGCGTTACAATGGCACAAAATGAAAAGTGATGAAAAGATTGCAGAACCATATTGTTGGTGCAGCTAAACTTTAATTGGTGTGGGGTATTTACAAGACATTTCCTGAAAAGAAGTATGTAGATGTGGGTAAATTTATTATTATTTATTTATAAATGTAAGATTAGTGACAAGGAAAGCTAAATAGTCTAAAGCATGTATCAGAATCCTCACGTTTCTTATGGCAAAGGCCGAGTCTCGATCCAGCTGCGGCCAGCCATTTTCTTCACTCCCATCCATCTCATTTCATCACGAACCTTATTAGCCTCACTCCATCTATTAGAACTTGCATAACTGTTCGATAACAAAGCGAGAGTCCCGATGCTCAAATCCCCGCCATCACCAAGGCAATGCCTGATTCTTTCAAACATCTTGTCATCACCATGGATTCTGCAAGCGTTGAGCAGAGCTCCCCAAACCGCCCCATCTGCTTCAAGCGGCATCTCTCTAATGAAAGCCTCTGCAGCCTCCAAGTTCCCTGCTCGGCCGTACATATCAACCACGCACGCATAATGCTGAACGCGAGGCTCAATTCCATAAACATCTTTCATGGCATTGAATAACATCAACCCGTGGGCGACAAGGCCCGCTTGGCTGCACGCAGATAGTAAGCCGACGAAAGTGACACCATCAGGAGTAATTCCATGGACTAGCATGAGCGAAAAGAGCTGCAGCACTTGGTTTCCATAACCACTCATGGCCATCCCGCATATAATTGTACTCCATGAAATTATATCCTTGCTCGCAAGGGCATTAAAAACCTCAAGCGCCATACCTAAATTTCCACACTTGACATACATATTGATTAAAGCATTACCCACATTGCCATTTGCTACAAAATCATGTCTTCTTCTGATATAGGAATGTATCCACTCGCCCAAATTCAAAGCCCCAACTGAAGAACAAGCAGACAATAAGTTAATAATGGTTACCTCATTAGGCTCAGCCTCTCCACCTTCTATCATTTCTTGGAAAACTCTCGCAGCTTCTTCACAAAATCCCTTTTGTGCATATCCCCCAATAAGCGTAGTCCAAGAAAAAACATCTCTCTTAGGCATTTTCACAAACAGATTGCCTGCATACTTCAATGACCCACAACTTGCATACAAATCCAGAATTGCATTATCCAATATAACGTTGTTTTCACCGAAATTCCTCAAACTGTAGCCATGAACGGCTTTGCCTAACGTCAAAGCTCTTAGACTAGAACAGGCAGTCATGACACTAACAAGTGTAAAAGAATTAGGGTCTACGTCCATGGACGAGAACTTAACAATGGCTTCCTCTTCAAAACCACGTCTAGAAAGCCCTGAAATGATCAAGCTCCACGAGACGACATTCGGAGAGCGTATCGAATCGAAGACTCGAGAAGCGGAGATGATGTCGTTTTTTGTTGTATAAAAATGAAGCAAGGAGTTTTGGATGAAGATGTCATGGTGGTAGCCACATTTTAGGACGTGTGCATGGATTTCTAGTCCTTTTGGGTGCGCATGCAAAGAGTTGCAGGCCTTGAGGGCGTATGTGAAAGTGTAATGGTTGTAACAATTAGTTGGGAAGTGCAACATTTGGTTGTACAGGAAAATAGCATTTTCTGGGTTGGTGGATTTTGTTAGTGATCCTAGTAATGGGTTTAAGGTGTGGGGTTTTGGGTTTTTGATGAGTTGGGCATAGATTTGATTTCGTGTTTTGTGTGTGAGCGATGCAATAAGTGACTTTAAGGGCATGGATATGTTTGGATTTTGGTGTTTCCACCAAAAATGTGTCGGTTGACCTTATAATAGTGGGTTCCCAAACAAATTTGCAATTTGATCATGACCATTCAAGGTTGTGCTAAGAAATAAGTGAGCTCATTTTATTTATTTATTTATTTATTTATTTATTCTTACTCAAAAAGAAAGTTATTGGTGTCATCCCGACCCCATCTCATTATTTATATAAGAAATCTCGGGACCCGCCAATAGCGAAAATGGTCTGATTCAATTCTATTGAACGGTTTCACGACAGCTTAGAATTGATCCACTATACACATCAATAAAAAGTATGTCTTAAAATAGAAAAATTAGATGGGGTTTGCTTTCTATTATTTGTGATCAGATGGTTCTCTAAATTCTCTTCATTGGGTTTTGCAACTTTTATCCCCCTTTTTTGCAAGTAAATCATATTAGATTTTAGCTGGTAAAAACTGTTTTTTTGGCCTAAGAGGTCTAGTGCATCGGTGTTTGTAATGACAATACTAAGATAGGTGTACGGATTTTTGAAGCACTATGAAGGCAGCCGATGCGTATGATCAGCCAATTAGGTTTTGGGATCTGAATGGGTAGGAAGCAAGTAATTAAAGCATTTCTCATTCATTTTCAACACAACTTTTTTGAAGGAAAAAAAGGCTTCACTGGTTGATAGAAATGGTAAGTTGCCTTTTACATCTGATTAGATGTTCCTTTATCCCTTAGATATGAAGGAAAAAGAAAACAATGCCACTTTTTTTCTAAAATCAGAATAAAATATCCCACTAAATAATGTCTAATATTCTGTTCTTTTGTTTGGTAGATTACAGTTTCAAGATACAACAGTGATTTATATATGTGACTTTTTATGCAGGTTGGTGTTTTGTTATTACTAAACCTGGCATTTATTGGTTCTTATAATATGAAATATATGAACTCTTTCTTATCCCTTTTTTGAGCACTATCCCCATCAGGCAATAGTTCTTTTTAAAAGGAAGAAAATTACAAGATGGAAAGGAAAATCAAAGAACTTCTTGGTTGAGGTAGTTGTTCATTTTGCAGGCTGTCAATGAGATATGGTTAAGTGGAATTTTTAGATCTGATATAGACAATTTTTTGAGGATGAATACGGATGCTTTTTTGGATGGACATATTGATAATATGTATGGGACAGGTACAAATTTCTGTCTAGTTCTATGTGTAATGAAGAAAGTGCAATCATACATTCAATACAACTTTGGACAGAACTAGGTTCAATAGGGCCCTCATATAATAGATAAGGGACCTCTAAAAGAATCTGAATGATCAGAAAAATCCAAAGCACCATTTTCTTCATGCCACTCTAATTCGACACATGTTATCAACGTCTGAAAAATGTTGTCAATAGACAGATAGACACATTCAGTATTCGCTACTCATTTGACTTACCTTACCATCATTACTGATTTTTCAAGGGATTTTTCGTTGCTTAGAACACAACTAGGCTATAGAAGTCAAGGCGCAGCGTAGCCAAATAACTCGAGAGACGACGTATTCTAGTGTGACATGTGAATTACTTAGAAAGTGAAATTATTTATATATCCGCCTATTATAGTGTGACAAACTCAAATCCAAGATCTTGTTGAGGAGAATGGGCAGTGACCAGTGGTAAATGATTTTTTTTTTTCCTTGAAATTTCTAACATCTAATACTGCGTTGAATTCATGTGTAGCATGGTTAAAAAAGTCAGCCTGGTTTAAAAAGGTTGCACATTCATTTGCTAGGTTTAGAATCCAAGGGCCATTCGCAATTGGGCCAGTACTCACATCTCATCAAACCTAAAGCCATTTTTGCTTACTGCTGTGGTAATCAAAAATACATATTGGCATAGGCCGAAAAAAAGAAAAAGAAAAAAAAAAAAGAGCTTTGGCAAATAGTAAAGTGAAAGCATGCAAAAAGTTGGAGTCTTTGGAGTGCCTCCACTGTTTCCGCTTTGCCTTTTTCTCCTTATTTCCCTTGTTCCTTATACATCATTCACATAATGTATCTTCAGTTTTTTTTTTTTTCCTTTTTTTTTTGGGAGTATTTCTATTTGCATGAAGATGTCAAAGGAAGCAACTTTTAACGAAGAAATGCTTCTTCATTGTTAATTACTAGAGTAATAAACAATGTTTATTTTCTAATTACTGCTCAACTTTCTGTATAACTGCCGACACAGGGTCATTGTTTAATGTATTTTTGAAGGTAATTAGGTTGTCCTCACCTTTCATTGGAGTCGCTGTGATTAATTATAAGCTTTGACTTTTATTATAATATGACGTGCTAATAACGGCATAATTTGAATAATTATGAAAGAATAATGATTTTGATTTGATTATATTTCTTCCTTTTTTATTTTCTTTTTTCCTCCTCCCATTCTGGCCTAGCCTTACAACTAAACAAATTGTAAATTGCCACAAGGCTTCCAAAAGTACTTATTTTGATGATTGAAATTTGATCTCTTTTGGTCCGTCCATGCTTTTTTTTTTTTTTTTTTTTTTTTCCACTTGAGAGTATTACATTTTTTTTTGTCCCCATGGGAACTTTCAAATTTTTATCTCATTGATTACTCTTTTACTTTCCAATGCTGCCTTGGAACTTTTAGACCATATCCTTTTAACTTTTATGGCACCCAGAAAGAGCTGGTGATGCAAATCACAGTGGAAAAGAATAATGATACATAATATTTCTAGATGAAAAAATATGTGTATGAGCATAAATGGCATATGACAAACTACAAAATATCCAATGAGAGCCACCAATCCTTGTTCATTTTCAAGTCTACTTTTCTTAAGAAATATTGGTATAAAGAAAAAAAAAATCCCAATGAACTGGCTTCCAATTATGCACCATTTAATGTGGCTTTCATTTTTTGCCAATGAATTTTTGAAGAGTGTTTTAGTATGTCCCATCAGTATCATGATTACCCCAGAAGCTGTTTGGTGCATAAGGAGCAATATGAATCACAGTTTTTAGATAAAAAAAAAATGCCGCCTCTAACTTCTAGAAGATAATTACTGTATGTTATTGAATTTGGCGTTTGAAAAAAGATGATACTTTGGAAAGTTAATGAGTTTTTGGTGTCTTCTACCCTACCTTGGGCAAAAAATGTTATTTTCCAAAAGAAAGAAAGATATGTATATAGTTAGTTGCTATCTTTCACTCTCAATTGTTGACATAATCAATTAGAAGAAGAAGAAGGGATCATATATAGATCTTTGCTTCTTACTGGTTGCTAGTTAAATTAGAAGGAAAATTATTTTGCTTGTAATAGATGTTATTGTAAGTCAAAAATCTGTTGCGCCATTTCTATCTTTCCAATTTGGCATGAATCATGCTCTGAAAGCTTCACACGGAGAAAAATTAGTACATGCATTTCTCACAAAGAATGAAAAAAATAAATAAGGAAAGAGAAACACACTTTCTTGAATTGCAATTCTATTTATTCTAATTTATTTTGAGTTCTTCTATTTAGCTATTGAAAAATTTAGTCATAAGGAGAACGTGTGAAACAAGTATTCTTCACTCTAGGACCAGCAGTAATAAGCCTATACTAGTTTTCCTTTGCTTGAACCGCTTCTGAAGTAAGAAAAAAATTGAACAGTTTGGAGCCAGTTTGCTGGTTATTCGAGATTAGCCATTACTTGGTAGTACTCAAATATGGGCAATTACAAGTCACTTCCTAATGGTTAATCTTGAGAAGAGCTTAATTTTGATTCTTTTTACACCTATATTTTTTTTTTATTTCTATCAAAATAACCAAATGTACCTATCTAATCATAGATAAAACTAGGGTGGTTATAACTTGGGGGACCCCCTGAAAATAAAGAATAAAATGAAAATAGAATGGTAAGAAGCATATTAGATACATATATATATATATATATATATATATTTGCTGACCCTTTTTAACAATACACAAAGATATGTTGAGAAAGCTCCAAATCTCTTCTTTTGTCACCTTTCTCATTTGAGAATATTTTATGGTTATGTTTCTAACACATTGGAGTACCTATTATACTTTCCTAATTATACTAGACATCATAAATATATATGCACAAAAAAATAATAATAAACAAAGAAAATTTGAACATGTGGATCTTATGGACAAGCTAGAAAATGATCTAGGTTGCTAAATACATGAGCCGCGTGCATTATAATTGCATTATGCTTCATTATCTTATTCTATATCTTCAACTACACGTGTGACAGAAAGATTGAGAGATTATGTGAAGTGGAAGCAATTAACATGTTGGCTTGGTTATAAAACAAGCCCTATAAATATTATTATATTATATATATGATCAAAATGTATATATAAAACTTCATTCTGTTTTAGATCAATTTTATTATATCTGGGGATTAATATCTTGAGAATGAAGAAAATTGGTACAGGAGCTCAAAAAGAGACAAAGGTCATGGAGTCAAAGACAAGACGACCACCAATCTCTCTCATGCCCCTCAGGTCCCTCTCCAAACCGTTTTCTACTCAGACCCATCAACCAACCTCTCTCTCTCTCTCTCTCTCTCTCTCTCTCTCCCCCCTATATACTCTCTCTCCTATATACTCTCTCTTTCCTATATTCTAAGCAAACCCCACAACCATCACCATCATCATTATCATCATCATTCCCACAACCTGAAGTTTCTATATGATCAATATATCTCTCCTTTTCTCTATAAAGTCCTTGCAGTTTTACATCAAACCAGTTGGGAATTAATAATTTTTCTCAATTCTCTCTCTCTCTCTCTCTCTCTCTCTCTCTCTCTGTCTCTGTAATTCCCTAGATAGTTAGCTCAGAATGAGGAAGCCAGATCAAGGAGGCTCTACGGGGAAAGACAATAACAACTCCAACGTTGTGAACAAGCTGAGGAAGGGACTTTGGTCACCTGAAGAGGATGACAAGCTCATGAACTACATGCTCAACAATGGCCAAGGATGTTGGAGTGATGTCGCGAGAAATGCCGGCTTGCAACGCTGCGGTAAAAGTTGCCGTCTTCGTTGGATCAACTACTTGAGGCCTGACCTCAAGCGTGGTGCTTTTTCACCTCAAGAGGAAGAGCTCATCATCCATTTGCATTCCCTTCTTGGCAACAGGTTGAATATATCTTTTTTTTTAAACTCTTCACAATTATAATAATATTATTATTACATGCTATGAAATTTTGGCAAACATAGATATCATTTGTTTTATGAAATTTTGCTGCATGAACTGTGTATAAAGTTTTTGTCTTAGTCTATGATTACATTTTCTAATTAGTGTTAATGAGCTCATGTGTTGATTTTTTGATTAGTTTGCAGGTTTTTATTATTTTCTATATTTTCTTATTATTTGCTACCTACTCTTGAAGAAAAAGGATAGAAGCTTGTGTAGTATTTTTTATGGTTATATCAAATCAAGATATCTATTTCATAGACCATGCATATATATATATATATACGTGTGTGTATATGTATAGTGTGTTTGGTAATAAAATCAAACTAAATGCAGTCATGTCCATTGAATTAAGTTATGTACGAATTATTATTGTTGCTGACAATAGATTACTTGTATGATTACATGTGTACAACTAAGTCATACTTTTCTTTTCCTTTTTTCTCGATAGAGTACAAATGTCATGCGTATGGATAGGGGTATATATAGGCGTGTATGTACAGGGATAAGAAAAGTGGGACCCTTTTTATTGTCTTTTTTTTTTTTTTTTTTTTGGTTCAGAGAAACACACTAGTACACTTCTTATAATTTTTTTTTGTACTTACATTAATACAGCTTACATGGAGGATATACAAAAGTTGAAAATGACACTAGTCTTATATGTTAATATATATATATAATATTTATTTGTATATATATATATATATATATATATATACACACACACACACACATGAGCCTTGAGTTGAAAACACTCCAGCCCGTTTAACTTTTTAGTTAAGTTTTAAGACTTGTTTCCATGCAATATTTCATGCGTCAGACCAAAGACTGGTAGTGTACTATTGTATACCTCAATTTCTCCACCCAACAACTACGTAGTCTAATATACAATATGTTTGCGTTTCTCTAGAGTCAAACTTGTCTGGCGGCCAAAAATTAATACGAAAGCTTAGGTAAGAAAATGAAATAATTATTGATTGAATAAAATTTAATATGAGTCTACATCAGCCCTTTGAGTTGAAGACACTCCACACCATATATACCTTTTGTGTGTATTAAGTCAGCAATTCCATATATTACCATGCAACTCATGCACATATATAATATATTGAGGAAAACATGAGAGTTTACACTATTTTTCCTATTCCAATTCTAAATCAGGTGGTCCCAAATTGCGGCACGATTGCCAGGAAGAACCGACAACGAAATAAAGAATTTTTGGAACTCGACAGTGAAGAAACGTCTCAAGAACTTGTCAACCTCATCCACACCCTCACCTAACACAAGCGACTCGTCGTTCGAGCTCAAAGACTCCATGGAAGCTGCAAGGGGGCACAACATAATTCCCTGCAGGCAATTAGAGAACAATGCCAACATGTTCTCCAGTACCTACAATCTGCAGGACTCTTCGCCGACTTCAATCCAATCCAGTGCCATCAACAGCCACATGATCCGTCCCTTACCGATGCTTGATCTTGATCATGATCATCATCATGGTGGCCTGATTAACAACATGTTTGGTCCAAACGGGTACAATAACATTAATCCTTCCTCATCATGCATGGCAGTACATGAGATTGGCATTAATGGATCAGGTGATGATCATGATAATCATGGATTATTCTTTGGAGAAAGTGGGGTTTTTGGTAGTGCTAATATTGGTTCAGAGGCAGAGATTTTTGTTCCTCCTTTGGAGAGTATAAGCACTACTGAAGAAAGCTATACCGATCATCATCATCATCAGAGAATAATCTATGATGATCATCATAGGAACAGTAGTTACAACAACATGGTGAATAACATAAACAGTAATATCGTCAACTGCAATAACAATATTAATATCAAAGCCGAAAACCAAAGTGGGGTTGAGAATTATTTCCAAGCGGAGCTAACAGTTGGAGAGTGGGACTTGGAAGATTTGATGAAAGATGTTTCCTCCTTCCCTTTTCTCGACTTCCAAATCGAATAATTCCTTATAGAAAAAAATTTTCCAGTTAAATTCTTTTTTAATTTTCTCCTTCAAAACACTATTTGTTTTCCTTAAACTTTCAGGGTTTTTTTTTTTTCTTCGTTTAATAATTTCCCAAAACAACGAGCTTATAAAAGTAGAATAAGGTAACACCCTTTGTACCCTGATGATCATATAATATCTGACTTGATCTTGGTTTTGCTTTAGAACCGGGTTACCTCGTGAAATAAAAGGGTCACAGTGGGGTATGTATATCAAGTGACCGTGACAGTCGTGATCTTTGTATGTAATCTTTGTTTTGCCATGTAAAGTCATTTTGGTGATCAGGGCAATCTGCAGCGAGCGAGTGAGCTTCAAGAGTTATATACACAAATATATATATATATATATATATATATATATATTATACAATTGTGAAGAGAGATGTAAACAATATAGCTTCATTATAAAAGTAGGGAAGGGAGTTTCATCAAAGATTATAGTTGGTAAATAGATCCTTTTAGTGTACTTTTGAGATGTACAAAAGATTGTTGAGAAGTGCGGAGGTTGTAATTAGTGGGTGACAAGTAGATTGTAATCATACATTGCATGAAGATATAAAAATTCCGTCTCTCTTTCTTTTCTTATACATACATACATACATATATATATATCATTCACTTTTTCTTCGTATAATCAACTAGACAAGTAATGACACAGATATATACTTCCACCAACTAAATATAGTACATAATAACTTACAAAACACACCTTACTTGTTAATTTATTTTTATTACAAAAAGGGAGCTATGTAGTTTTTTCAGCGTGGAAAATTATTGTTAGTTCTTTAATCATTCCAATATATATATATATATATCAATGGCAAAATAAATAAATCAAAATAAAGGTAAAAACCATTAAAAATAAAAGGTGCAAAAAAAAAAAAAACTCTTTTATTATGTTCATCTAACGGGGTATAATCATTTAGCAGACGTGCCCACTTGGAACAAATTTAAAATCAGCTGTAGTAATTTAAGTAAAGACACACAGCTTGGTGGTCTCATTGTAAACATGGGTATTTTTCTATTGCATATATATATATATATATATTTAGTTAGTTAGCCTGAATGGTTATATTCTACAGAACAATTATTAACTCCTTAATCCACCTTTTCTTTCTATTTGCTATTGCTAAAGATGGCACCACATAGTTATTATTATATTCGAAAGCAATCAATACAAAGAGAAACTTAGCCCAACTCGATCATTCAAGAAGTGAATAGAAAGCAACTTTGGAATATGACCTCCGCTAATACCAAGTTATATAGTTATACAAGAAGACAAGGTCACCATTTTCACTTGAATATTGACAGACCGAAGAGAGTGCTTCTAAAAATCATTTCCCTTTAGATTTCAAGCTCACCATAACTAACATTTTGTCATGTGTATTAGCAATTATGCAATTTGACAATTGGGAAGGTTGTTTTCCTTTGAGAGGCATATATTATATATAGTAACCGATGATTACGCCAATGTTTTGTGTAAATGATATCATATTATTGTTTGACAATTGGTGAAAGTAAGATTTGGGATTGGACACCTTTTTTAAACCATAAGTTCACTTTAATTTTGTAAGCAAAAAGAAAAAAAAAAAGGAGGGGAAAAAAAGTTTGTTTGAATGTAGACAAGTCCATATTTTCATGGGTCATCATCATGCTAATGCATGATTCATGTTCTTCTTTTTTTTAATATAAAGAGAGGGGGAATGTCACCACTTTTAAGTGAGAGGTTTAGGGTGATTCCAACTCAAACTTATGGTTGGGGTGGATAGACTTACAACCAATTAGGCTATCATCACTCGTCATGATTGTATGTTTTTATCTCTTCTTTTTTTTTTCTTAATGACTGAAATTAAGAAATAATTGAAGTATTTTCATATTTTTGGCACATAAAACAAGAAGGATAACTATTATTGAGCACTTATTTAAAAAAAAAAAAGAAACTATTAATTTAGAACATCAACATTTTGAGACTAATAACCTAGTTTTGAATCTTTATGGTCTTAAATAACTTATTCACTACAATTATTAATACATAATATTTTTAATTTCAAAATAGAATTGTAAGGGTAAAAAGTGAGTTTATTAACTTAAAAATTAGTAAATAGAAGATAATATATATTAAAATATGTATATGATTTGAGGCCTCATGCAATAAATCTGATAACACGAATTGCCGAAATTGACCATGTAGTAAGTGTAGTAAATCTTGAAATTATTTACTTTAGTCATTGGACAAATTTTAGTGAATCTTAGATTTATAAACTTTGGTTATGAGGTAAATTTTTTTTTAAAAAATTATTTAAATATAATAACTTACAAATAATTATGCCATTTACTTTAATACCCTGCAAAAAAAAAGGACGATCTGCCTACATCTCTATTCTCCCTATAAGAAGAAATTTGAGAAATGCCACGAAAAAACATATAGTCGTGTTTGGAATTGATTTCGTTTTTACTTTTCACGTTTTTTGAGAAAAAAAAATGAAAACGTTTTTAAAACGGCGTTTGGCGTAATAAAGATAAAAAACGGAAATGAAAATGATTTTTTGGTTTAGTGTAAAATGAGAGAGAAATGAAAAATGACTTTTAGTCGTTTTTCATTTTTTGTTTTCGTTTTCTCCTCTCTCGAGCAGAGAGAGAGAAAAAGAGACATTAATGGGCTTTTTTATACTGAAAATAATCTCTTGATAAAACTACCAAACGCATTTTTAAAAATGATTTCTATCTGAGATTGAAAACGTTTTTATTTTCATTTTCATGCAAAAAATAAAATTATTTTAAAATGAGTTCCAAACGCGCCCTATGTTTTTGTCTTTCCGATTCATACAGTGAATATTAGAACTTTTGATTTGTGTTGCAGAAATCGACTAGTCAAAGATCAATAAAATGTACGTAATCAGAATCATAAAGAAGTTATGGCACAAATTCAACGATTTGTTATATCAGATTTTTCCTGTAAATCAAATTTGCATGACCGACAAAACTTTTTTCCACTCTGCCAACACATGTCGTGATCCACAAAGCCCATAATGTGGGGGTTGGATTTTACAATTTGACCCAATGAGTTGGGTCAGCGTAAAGTGGATTTTCACGAATCTGAGTCTATGTCCCTGTGACCCAACCCAAATCTGAATGACAACATAAGCTGGTCTGTTTATTTCGCTAATTTGAGTTTAAAATTTAAATTTAAATGTGACTTTATGTAAAAAAGTTTTACTGTAGTAAAAAAATTTAATGTGATTGTTTGTGAGAATTTTTTACTGTAAAAAAATTAAATTCTAAATTCGAATCAATAAAGTGAACGAGACCAAAAGAAAATCTAGCCGTACGGGCAATGGTGCCATTGTAATTGCGCCTTTTATGGTGGAATAGGACTGGTAATTTCAATTTTCGGATCACCTCAAAGGAAAAAAAAAACAATTTTCGGCCGAAGGAAATGGAAGGAAAAAAAATTAAAAACATTCGTCGCCTGAGAGATTCGAACTCTCGCGGGGAAACCCCATGTACTTAGCAGGCACACGCCTTAACCACTCGGCCAAAGCGACTTTTGTAGGCTGAAGACATATTTTAATATTTAATAAAAAATAATTGATAACATACTGCCCGCGTAATTTAATCTAATAGTACTATTAATTTATTATAGACCGAATTGAGAAAATTCTATGATGAGGCATGTTATTAAAGGTAGAGTAAGTTTTATATTATTTGATTAAACTTAACGGTATGATATAAGATACACCTTATAAATAGTATACTAAAAAAATGTTCTGTAGTTAAGTCGAAACAATGTGTGCGTTTGAAACTTATTCTAAAATAATTTTATTTTTTGTATGAAAATGGAAATAAAAACATTTGCAATCTCATATATAAATCATTTTTAAAAATGCGTTTGATAGTTTTATCAAGAGATTATTTTTAGTATAAGAAAATCCATTAATATCTCTCTCTTTCTCTCTCTGCTCTCGAGAGGAGAAAACGAAAACAAAAAATGAATTTCTCTCATGTTTTACAGTAAACTAAAAAATCATTTTCATTTCGTTTTTTATTTTTAATTGTGTCAAACGCTGTTTTAAAATCATTTTCATTTTTTTTCTCTAAAAAAATATAAAAAATAAAAAACAAAAATAATTCCAAACACACAACATCTCACTGTAGAACTATCTATAATAAACTATGGAAATGGATGTGAGGTGTGAGACTTCTTTTGATTTTGGTGTTTATCAAATTTTCAAACTACAAGGTCATAAAGTCACGAGATATGTTACTATTTACATAGAAACAACATTATCTCATTTGAAAACAAAAATGACTCATTTGGTGTGATGCAGCATCAAATACACACACACACACACACATATATATATATATATATATATACTATTTTCTTTTGTAGTTTGGCTAAAAACAATACTACCGCCTTCAAAAAAAAAAAAAGTACCAACAAAAATCTACTCGGGACCAGAAAACATTTTACTCACAAATTAGTCCAAAAAAAAAAAGTTACCTCCTCTCACACGTGAACAAATTCAAGTTTCTTCTCTAATCACAAATCAATTCCGACTCTTGGCAGAAGTAAAACAAAGTATGCCCCTTGGCAATATCAAAAAAAAAAGCTCTGCCTCTCTTTCTTTCTGTATTTTTTTTTGTTTGAAAATAAAAAAGCTATGCCCCTTGGCATTCTCAAAAGGTTTCCCCCCTTAACGAACATAAACATAAACACACAGAAATTGAAAAAACAAATGAAAAAAAAAAAACAAAAGAGCTTCTTTAGTAGGATATTAAGAAATGACCTATCAATAGTTTTTTTCAACAGTTAAATTTATATTAAAAATTAAACAAAATGATGGGTGCGTTTAGAATTAATTTAAAAATGATTTTATTTTCAATAAAAAGTAAAAATAAGATTATTTTGAGAATCATTCTAAAACTGATTCTGAAATTGCGTTTAGTTAGTTTTTAAGATATTATTTTGAGTATAATAAAAAAGTGAAAATTGTATTTATTAATTAATATATTATAATATTGTTAATAAGTACTAAAAAATGAAAACAGAAAAGTAAAAACAACTTTCCACTGTTTTATAATTTATTCACAAAAATCATTCTCATTGTTTTCATTTTTAAAATATTTGCTAAATAAACGTCATATCATTTATATTTTTATTTTTTACTTCTCAAAATACGTAAAATTCGTTTTCAAAAACAGTTTCAAACACGCACATTATGTTTTGCATATTTCTTTTATATAGTATGATTTTGACCAGTCAAATTATCATAAAACTACTCGTATAATTATTTTATAAGAGAAACTTAAAAAAATAAAATAAATAAAGAGGGAAGAAGAAAAGGGAGAAAAAGAAAAAAAGACGGTTGAAGAGTTTGGACTATTAGGAGACGTTTGGTTCATATATTCAAAATTATTCTTATTTTATGTATATTTTTTTATGAAAAAAATATTATAAAAAATTATGAACGAATATATGAAACAAACATCCTCTGAATCAGACTGAACTATGAGACCAGGAAGCAAGGCGGATCTGAATCTAATCAAGGCCAGAAGTCAGAAAGAAGTGAAATGACGATAGTGACCTTGTTGAGTAAGAATGAATAGGAGCCACATAAGTGCACGTGCAGAGAGGCATGGACCTGACACAGTGCTTGGATTATGTTGTCGTGGAACTAATGAGGCAAAGAATAGCAAATGAGTGGTGAGTCTGTTCTCTTGTCTTGTGTACGGCAGACATTTGTCCTTTCCAACTTGCCACTTTAAAACGGTGGTTATAGGCTCCGTTTCATGGTATGATTTATGAAGGTTAAAATTAAAGTAATTTTAGTTTTAATTTTAAAATTAAAATTAAAATTTATAATTTTAAATTTAAATTATGATTTTAAAATTAGAATCAAAATCTGAAATTTAAATTATTTAAAAAAAGAAAGAAGTAGTTTTAAAATTATAAGTGATTTTAATTTAAAATATTATATTATAATTTAAATCTTAAATTAAAACAATTTAAATTAAACACTGATTTTATTGAGTGGAAGTTCCGTTCATTTCACTGATTTGAGTTTAGAATTTGAGTTTTACTACAGTAAAAAGCTCTCAAAAACAGTCACATCTAACTTTTTTATTACAGTAAAAAGCTCTCATATAACGTCATATCTCAACTCAAATTAAAAATTCTAATTAACGAATTAAAAGGGCCCGTCTTTTTCAGTTTTCCCACATGCCCTTTTACTCCTCAACTGTTCACCAAAATCACAAGTCTGGACAAAAGCAAGCCCCTGACATTTCTACCCAATAGAAAGAGCCACGTGGAGAGTCTAAACGTCCGTGAAGAAAAAGCTATTCATCCAGCCACTAATGATTCAACACGTGTCTTTGTGGGCCCCGCCAGAGACAGACGCATGTTAGCGGAGCTTCAGTTGAACAACCCCACGCAAAAGTCCACCGTGGCAGTGTTTGGGGCGGAGATTTCAAACCACACGAGACGACGGCATTCCCTATGATTGACAAGAGAAGGGCAAGACGAAAAAAAAAAAAGAAAAACATCATATGTGATTGAAAACGAAGATCGTATATTCCTATCTCAACCTCCGCCGTACGATCCTAATCGAACGGTTTACGCAAGCTTCTCCTCACCATTCTCCACATTTATTTCGTCTTATTCTCAATATAATATATATTTTGCTCTGAATTTTATTACTCCTCTGTTGCCGCTCTGAGAGGCTGAGTTCCGCACCAGATCCCAAGCCTTCCTTCCATGGCGTCCCTCGCCCTCTCCACCACGCCTTCCTCTCCTGCCCTAACTTCTCTCAGATCCCGGGCTTCGATACCGAAATCCGCCATTCTCAGGCACGACAATCGATGCTCCTCTCGGCCGGCTCTTCCCCTGAGAACCGCCGGCTTCGGAATAATCCGACCGCTTGTCTCCTCCGACGACGGATTCTCCAGATTCGCCAAGTCCGCTCGCGGATTCACAGTCAAGGCATCGTCCACCGCCGCTGCCGCGGGGGCGCCGGCGGCTCCGGCGGGGCAGAAGCCGTGGCAGGGGGCGGCGATTAAGCCTCTTCTGGCTTCGATTGCGACGGGGATTATTCTCTGGTTCGTTCCGATGCCGTCCGGGGTTTCGAGGAACGCGTGGCAGCTGCTGGCGATTTTCCTCGCCACGATCGTCGGGATCATTACCCAGCCGCTGCCGCTCGGCGCCGTGGCGTTGATGGGATTGGGCGCTTCGGTTCTCACCAAAACCCTAACTTTCTCCGCGGCGTTCTCGGCCTTCGGCGATCCTATCCCGTGGCTCATCGCGCTCGCGTTCTTCTTCGCCAGGGGGTTCATAAAGACCGGTCTTGGCAACAGAATCGCTTACCAATTCGTTTCCCTGTTCGGTAGCTCGTCGCTCGGGTTAGGTTACAGTTTGGTGTTCAGCGAGGCTCTCTTGGCGCCGGCGATTCCGTCGGTCTCCGCCAGAGCCGGAGGGATCTTCTTGCCGTTGGTGAAGTCTCTATGCGTCGCGTGTGGTAGCAATGTCGGCGACGGGACGGAGCACAAGTTGGGGTCTTGGTTGATGCTCACTTGCTTCCAGACTTCGGTGATTTCGTCGTCGATGTTCTTGACGGCCATGGCGGCGAATCCTCTGAGCGCAACTTTGACGCTCAACACGATTAAGCAGACGATTGGGTGGACCGATTGGGCCAAGGCCGCCATTGTTCCAGGATTGGTGTCGTTGCTCGTGGTCCCAATGCTTTTGTATGTGATTTACCCGCCGACAGTGAAGAGCAGCCCCGATGCGCCGAAGCTCGCGAGGGAGCAGTTGGAGAAGATGGGGCCAATGACTACCAACGAGATTATAATGGCTGGGACTTTGCTCCTCACGGTAAACGCCTCTTTTTTTTTTTTTTTTTAATTAATTGTCTTTGGTTCTTAGTTTCTGTTTTTCCTTTTTTGTCAGTTTATGTTTTCGCGTTAAGGAAAAAAAAATTGTGAGAATTTCTAAGAGCTCTCTTCTTTGGTTAGTAGATAACGTTTTAATGAGTTTGGTAATCAAATGAATTAAGGATAAGAGAAGTTTTAACTAAATGCATATTGGACCGTCAAACTTTGTGTAGCATATCTCCTTAAAAAAAAAAAAATGGGTGGCGTTGATAATATCAAGTTTAAGGGTGTTCATATCATCCAATGATCAAACCGACCGGTCTAATCCAGTCTAATCTATTTTTAATGAATAACTGACCTCAATTAGATTGGATTGAATGTGAATTCTTCAAAACCGACTTGGACTAGATTGGAGGTTAATTTTACTTTTAACCCACCCAATCTAAACCGATCCAATCCTTATCTATTATATAAATAAATAAATATTTATAATTATATTATTGGTCGAACATTTAAATTCTATTTTTTCCCCTAACATTTCTTTAACTTTTTTTTTCTCTTTCAAATTTGGACTGTAGCGTGTGACGTGTGTTTCCTAGATTCAAAGAGAGTAGCAGCCGTGCACGTGTGAATTTTTAGATTATGTTTTCATTAAGTTGTTTGTTGGATTGGATTTTTTTTTTCAACTTTCAAGTTTATAATTTGGAGTTTATATGCTTTTTTTTTTTAATCTATGGATGTTAATTCTTGTTTTGGATTTAATTGCATGGAATTTTTAAAAACCGATCTTTAATTGAATTGGTTGTTGTATGACTAAAATAGGTTGGATTGAATTGGATGAACACCCCTAATCATGTTTCTGAAGCATCTTTGTTACTAAATGTTAATTAATCCGTATCTAGTAGATCAAATTTATGGTAGAAATATGTCTCACTTAATCTTAATATCGGAAGGGGATGTACTAATTTCCACTGGTTAGTTTGTATGTTTCCTAACCAAGTTTTCTCATGTACGTGTATACAAATTCTGCCACTCGACAGAGTAGTGGTCCAAAAATTTCGTCATTTCTGGACGATAGTTATTGTTGCAGCTTGTCAAAGTTATCGTGACTCAATTGGTTGTGTCAAAATGGTCTTATTGTGAGGCAGTAATATGTGTTACCTCAATACCACTTACTAGTGTAGACACTTGTATTGACGATGCATACACATTGTTTGTTTGAATACGTGTAACAGAATAACATTGGTTGTCAAACGTCTCTATGTTCTGTACAATAATAGTCTCCCTTTTGTTGTTACATTCAGGTGGGGCTTTGGATTTTTGGAGGTATACTGAACGTAGACGCGGTTACTGCTGCAATTCTTGGATTATCTATCCTTCTTGTGACTGGAGTTGTGACATGGAAGGAGTGCTTAGCTGAAGGAGTTGCGTGGGATACTCTCACTTGGTTTGCGGCGCTTATTGCAATGGCTGGCTATCTCAATAAATATGGTCTCATCTCCTGGTTTAGTCAAACTGTTGTTAAGGTTTGTCTTCTTTCCCCTGTTCGTTTACCATTATATCATATCATCAATTCTGAATTTTGTTACATAACTTGGCTATGTTAGGAATAGCTTACGTATCAAAAGCATATTCTCTTTTCTCATAATCTTATTATATATCTGCCCCTCTGACCTAGTAATTAGTGCTTTACCTATTTGTTAATTGCTAGTAATACGAGGAGTATTGTGATATGCAATTTGTCGGACATCTGATTCTACTTTTTCTGATTTCTCTTTGCCCTTATGATCCTGGGCCAGTCCCTTTGGTCTTGATTGCATTATGCATCAAATTTTCCAAGTTGTTGGGCCTATTAATAGTCCATAATCTAACAAAATGAAAGGCAGTTTTTGTACTTTGAAGTACAAGCACCGATGAGGTTTTCCCCATTTATACACATGTTATTTGTCCTGTTATGTTCGCTGTCACAGTGGTGGCAAGTTCTAATGAAAGACGTGAATGCGAAGTGGACAGGTCCACTTACCACGTTCAGTAAATTTGATAAGCAGTTAAAGTTTATAATTTCTCTCATTGTTACAGAAAATCTACCGTTCTGTGAACTCAATTGATAAACTAACCAGCCATTCTACTCATTTTTACAGTTTGTTGGCGGATTGGGTCTTTCATGGCAGTATTCTTTTGGTCTCCTAGTTCTTCTGTATTTCTACTCTCACTACTTCTTTGCAAGCGGAGCTGCTCACATTGGCGCAATGTTCACGGCATTCTTGTCCGTGGCTAGCGCTCTCGGGACTCCGTCATACTTTGCTGCAATGGTGCTGGCATTCCTCTCCAACCTCATGGGCGGTCTTACCCACTATGGAATTGGATCAGCCCCTGTTTTCTATGGCGCTAACTATGTTCCCCTAGCTAAATGGTGGGGCTATGGATTTCTAATATCCATTGTCAATATCATTATTTGGCTTGGAGTTGGAGGAGTTTGGTGGAAGTTCATTGGCTTATGGTAAGGAGTATCTAATTTGCCGACCCAAAAGATTGGGCATTATGTCTGATTTTTGTTCATCTTCAAGTTTCCAGGCAGGTTCTTAGTGTTCTTTTACAATTCTTTTCGTACAAATAAATCTTCTTTTTTTTTTTCTTTTTTTTTTTTTTTTTTTTTTGGGGGGGTTTGGTCTTGGGTGGCTTCGGTAGAGACTTTGGGGTGGAAATATGGTACACACACACCATGTTATTTGTCTAGATCAGAGGGTAGAAACAATACCTGAAATTTTGACTTGGCATAATGGCTGCCTTAAATATAATTAGTTCGTTATGAAGACTTAAGATTGGTCTTGGCCACAATTTTAGTCTAATATTTATGTATTCAGAGAGAGCATTACAATTTGTCCCCAGAATAAATACAAGCTTCTTACCAAGATGGTTACTACTTGACTTGGTTTGTTACCTCCTTGTTTTTCACCTTTTGTTGAAAGGAAATCTATAACTTGAGTTGATAAACAAAAACAAGGTAATATTGGCTGTGTTTGGAGTTGTTTTTGTTTTTCACATTTTTTGAGGGAAAAAAATGAAAATGAAAGAGAAATAGCGTTTGGCACAATTAAAGATAAACGGAAATGAAAACGATTTTTTAGTTTAGTATAAAATGAAAGAAAAATGAAAAATGACTTTTGGTCATTTTTCATTTTTTGTTTCCGTTTTCTCCTCTCTCGAGTAGAGAGAGAGACATTAATGTTTTTTTTATACTGAAAATAATTTTTTGATAAAATTATCAAACGCATTTTTAAAAACGATTTATGTCTGAAATTGAAAACGTTTTTATTTTCATTTTCATATAAAAAATAAAATTATTTTGGAACGAGTTTTAAACGCACCCATTATGTCTGAGACTTTCTTGAAAAAAAAATGAAAAAATAAAATAATATCCTACTTATGACAATCATGACCGTTGAATCTGATTGAAATTATTTTTAGCGTAAAACAAATATTTTTTAATATAAATTTAAAGATCAAAAAGTAAAGAACTGTCATACTAAAGAAAAGAAATTAGGTATTACGGAGATAAGAACGTACTTTATGAAGTTAGAATCTGTGATGTTAGTGGGTCTGGGGAATCCCACTACCAGTGTCGAGGTAGAAAGATGAAACATGGACCAGTAAAACAACACATGGTTTGGGATCCTACTTGGACCATTTATCGCCATAAAGACATCCTTAACTATAATCAAGCATATCATATCCAAGTGGCCAGTTTCAGGAAAGGAATCTCACGCTAGCTTTTTCAAAGATTGTGATGTTTTTTAAGAGTGGTTGCATATATTAAAGAAGTGATTACTTGCAATAAACAATACCTTTGGTTGTGCTGAAGTAATGTACTAGAGAAAGTTGTGTTGAAGTTGATGGGCCACCACCATTAGTGCACGCTTCTGTTCTGTTTAGGGAGGGAATGCCTTTTTCTCTACCTTTGCCATCTTGTTTTAAAAGTCCCATTTAATCTTATTCCCTTATTTTCTACAAACTATTTAGCTCTTTTTTTTTTTTTTTTTTTTTTGGTCGATCCGTCTAAACACTTCCTGAATCGATTATAAGATGGACCGATTACTAATGTAAAATAATTAAAAAAAAAAAATCGTCACTACTAGTGTTATCATTACGCTTATTGTGATTATTATTACTTAAGTTCGTGTTTCTCCTTTGAAATTGTGAAAGAGGCAAGCATCAAAGTCTTAACTCTTAAGATTAAAGTCCAATTATTATTCTTCAAAAAAAAAAAAAAAAAAAAAAATCTATGGTTGTTGATCAATTCGTTTTTCTCCTTTTAACATGGTGAAAGAGACAAGCATCAAAGTCTTGAGATTAGAAAGCTGTGGTTGTTGATCAAGGCAAACAACATGCATCATTAGCCTTTTAGATTCAGGGCATTGATATACCTCACATACCTCCAATCTAACTCGAATTTATTCCATTTTGTACCGCGGAAGTGGATGAAAAGGCCAAGAAAATTCCTATTAATGTCTCACCTGTCAGGTAAGGAGTGGTTTTTTTTTTAGCACAAATTTTATAAACTCTCTCTGAACTTTGTCATTTGTGTTAACATGCCTCCTGAACTTTAAAATGTGCATGTTGTGCCTCTTAAATTTTATCACTTGTATCAACATGCTTTAACATAAATGCTTATAAACACTCCCTAAACTTTGTCATTTGTGTCAATATGCTCCATGAACTTTAAAATGTACTTGTTTTGCTCTCGAAACTATGATATGTCTCCAACATTTCTCCCTCCATCTTTATTTTATCAGTTTTTTGAACAAAAATATTGATATGATCATTAAATTACTAATTATCTATGATATTTGACCATTAAAGTTCGTTAAGTTAATAGGTTTCTTAAGGTTTGTGTTGATTTTTTTTTTAAATGTACAATACAATAAATAACTTGAACGCATTTAAATTTAGAATTGCTATATGTGTATAAAGTATAAAAATATTTTATGTCGACCACTTCTATCTAGGTGAAATATTAAGAAAAAAAAACTAATAAAATTCATTACATTGTACATATTTGTTTTTCATTTTTTTCGTTCTTTATTGTCTCTAATCAACTAATATTTTAAGAATCGGTACTTAACTAACATTTTTAAAAGATAAAGTATTCAATAAACTTCAAATATCATAATTAATTAACAACTTAATAGTCATATTAATATTTTTGACAAACTAGTTACGTTTTTTTTTTCTTTTTTAATTTAGTCAACAAAGTATCATAAACAAATGATTTTGACCTTAGAATCATAAAATAGATGTGACACAAAAATTAACGTAAACGTGGAAGTGAAAAGAATGTAAGAATGTATAAATATAGATGTCATTGTCTCACGTACGTACAAAGGGATACTGATAACATGTAAAATGGTTTGAACTATTGTCATTTATTTTCAAGGCAGGTTTTTTCTTTCTTGGCGGTTTCTCTGCAATGCAAAATATTTCTTCATATGCTTGGGAAGTTCGTCAATGTGTTTGGTGGATTTTCGTGAATTTGAAATGATTTCGTCAATGATTTCTTCAATGCTTTGAATTATTGCCATTTATAGTTTTTTTTTTTTTTTTTTCTAAATGAACAAATTTACTATAATTTAAATTTAGAATTTGACATGACAAAATGTAACTCGTAAATGCGATTCTTGAGTAGTTGTAGGCTTAGTCCAGTAGTAGATTCACACCCATACTTTCAATATTATGATTTAGAATTTGAATTTTTTTCATCTCAATCATAAATATATATAGAAATAAAATTATTTTAATACTATGTATTATAACAAAACATAGGGTGCGTTTGGAATTGATTCCAAAACGTTTTTGTTTTCTGTATGAAAATGAAAATGAAAACGTTTTTAGTTTCATTTTTGAATTATTTCTGAAAATGCGTTTGGTAGTTTTATTTAGAGATTGATTTCAGTTTTAAAAAAAACTGAAACTGCGTTTGGTGGTTTAATTTTTGAAAATATGTAATAATATATTAAATAATAATATATTAAATAA